GTCATTTCGTAATAATGATAATAATAATAATAATAATGCATCAGTTTTACACTGCACATTTATTGGACACTTCCCAAGACGCTTCCCATGTTATTATTTCTTCACAGTGGTGGTAAACTATTCACGTGGCCACAGCTGCCCTGGGGCACACTGACAGAAACGAGGCAACGATTATGTGCCATCGGCCCCTCCCAGCACCATTCACACGCTGTGACTTGTAATACACTAATGCAAACACAAGAGGGCGCAGCTACTTTGACAGTTAAGCGCATGATCACTGATGGAAGTGGAGCGGTCTGTACTTTCACAACTTTTCACTTGCAGTAAACCAGAACATTAATTCAAATAATTTATCTTATCTGCATTCATTTTGTTCTTTTTTGTTCTTTTTGTTTTTTACTGCATTCTTCCTCACTGATACATGAAGGTGTGGATGTGAGAGGAGAGAGGCGCCGGGTGAGGTGTGGCCCGTGAACGCTCCTCTCCCACGGGGGTCTTCGATGTAAACAGCCGGAGCTCGCAGAAAGACAGACGGGAAGAAAGAGTCCATTGTGTGCGCTGCGCCTTTTACGCTCGGGTCCTGCAGTAACTGGACACTTCCCCTCTCTGCGCAGAGGGACTCGGGCTAAAGTTAGGTGCGCAGGGCAGTGGAAATAGCCTGGAGTGAGCGTGTTTGGACAGAGGCCCGCTATGGAGAGATAAACTCAACAGGTGGATTTTGCGCGAAAAACTTGGAACAGGTGCGTGCACAAACAGCGAATAGTTGTTTTCTTGTTTCAGTCTTAAAATAATACTAGTATGAATGGTGGCAGTTCTCCGTTTGTTAGATGAACAAGTACAGATGTTGTTGTTGTTGTTGTCATGGTTGTGGTATTTGCTTTGGAATGTACTTGAATATGCTGTTAAAGTTGGGCTACGTATCATTGTAAGAACATTCTTGTCAATAGTTTCTGGCTCTAAAACAATTGCTTCTATCATTAGATTACACATGCATGTTTTTAGCCTCTATCAAAAAAGCTCATCTTTAGATCAGCTTTTTCAGAAATTGATATGAAGAAAAAAGAGAATCAGACATTCAGCTTTCAGCCCACAGGAAATTGAAGATAGCATATTGTAGTCTAATTTCCACCACATTTCACCTTTATGACACAGAACATACAATATTATTGTTACAATATAAAACAATATTAACTTTAAAATCTCTAAATCTAACATGGCTCTGTTTAACTGATGACAGAAGATGCAATAAACGGAATTTGACTTGAGAAATTCACAAAAGTCATTCTGAAGTACTAATAAACACATGTACACGTACATGTGTAGTACTGTTCATTCCACACATGGCATTATTCATTCGCCTGGTACACAGTGGTGATAAACCACTACTGTAGCCATAGCTGCCTTGGGGCACACTGACAGAAGTGAAGCAATCCAGTTTTGCCATTACCCCCTCCCCCCCTTGTGGTGGTACCACAATCATTCTCTCACACACCACACTTAAGTAGGACCAGGTAATCTGGATAGAGTGTCTTGCCTAAGGTCACAACAATAGTTTGTCACTTTAGAGCCACAGCCGTCCCATGTGCCACCTGCTGTTTCCACAGGTCTCCCATCCCAGTACCACCCAGGCCCTACCCTTCTTAGCTTCTGATAGGATCAGGCCTTTACATGTGATACCATTTGTTCAAAAAGCATAAACCAGCTCTGTCCATGACGACATACTCTTTGGATCCGTCATAGTGTAAGTACGAGTTTGAGACAGAAGCATTTAGACCAGGCATGGTCAAACTAAGGCCTGCGGACCAGATGCGTCCCTCTGTGACATTTTATGTGGCCCTCTGCCTTGTTAAACTAAGGTAGTCTTTGAGATCATTCAGCCAACTTAATCTCAGCCAATATAGACATATTGTACCTTGTTGTAAATCTCTAGAATTCAGCTCTTGACTTTATGTGTATATACTGGCATTTCTTGTGTCACAAAATCAGTCTATGTTGCTTATGTAGCTGGTGCCATGGTAAACATTTGTCATTCAGCCAACTCCAGCTCTGTTATAGCTCATTCTAAAGCCAAATGACAATCTGAGTTGTCGGTCCCTGGACAAGTCTGCTGAACTTAACTTCTTCAGACGGGCCCCTCCCTGGGGACAGAAGGGGTATGGGGACGTGTTTGTGAAGTTCTTTGGTTTGGATGGAGCTACTGCAAGTCTATTTTTCATGAAAACAATGTTGTCAGATGGTTTTAACACATACATTTTTCATACAGTCTTTGAGACATGTATATTAATTAATTAGAGCCGTTTCGTCCATGGGAAAGCTCTTACTTCACCAAGATCCAATATAGGCCTATCCTTCACCATTCATACCAACTCCAATATTTCATTTCATTTCATTTCATTTTCAACCCCTTTATTTGTCCATTTCTGGGTCGGGGGGGGGGGTGGCAATGAGAGCTGCCACCCAATGCTCATAGCACCAGTCCCTCGCTGATCTTCTGCAGGGGGTGAGTCCACAGGAAGATGGCTGCTCCATCAGTTGAGAAACCGCCTTGATCTTTCAGCGGGGGGCTTCAGGCAACGTGGGGTTAAGTGTCTTGCCCAAGGACACAACGACAGCAGTCATCAGTGGGAGCAGTTGGAGTAGGTCCCATGGTGGGAATCAAACTCACGACCTCCAGGCCCAAAGGCCAATGTTCTACCAACTGAGCTACTGTCGCCAACTCCAATATGTCATTGGCATATGAAGGTGTTTGGTTCTTCTGTATCAGAAAATAGTTAGTGGGCCTCCCCGACATTGTCTCATATAGAGGACCCAATTACCGTTATATTTATACCAAAAAGACAATATGAACCATAGTCTACTACTATGCCATTGCCATTTATGTGAAAAAGACTCACATAAATATTTTGCACTGCGGACAACTCTGGTTCAGAAAAACACTGCCCTAGAACACTGCACGGCTCTATTCTGTAGTATTAAGTCATTACGCAAAAATTCCCATGCACACAGTTGTTAGAGTCAACACAAACTGGTTGAGTGCAGTTTAAGTGGAGAATGTGAGGTTGTCCTGAGGCCGTGTGCGGAGCAGTTATCCAGAGGTTTGCTCAGTCTTCTCAATGTTTTGTACTGTATTCTTTGTGTTTTGGACAGTATGAGACCATATGTTGCAGCCAAAGCAGAGGATGCAGCACTCTTCCTCTGGCCCCTCGTGTGTGAGTGGGAGGAAGGGTCCGGCCCGGTCACTCCACACAACACACTATTGTAGTCCTCATGCCACTTGATCACACCAGAAACGCAAGGACTTTTCTATATAATTATGGCTTATCAACTTACTAAAGTCCTTTACAATTAATAATAAAAGATATTCAGGTGAAAATTAGAAAATCATTGAACAGATCATTTATTTCTATAATCAAAGTAAATGTGAAACTAGTACATGATATAGGCTCATTACATGCAAAGTGACCAATGCCTTTGTTTGTTATAATGGTCATGATTTTGTCGTCCATTTAGAATATTCATGTTTTCTGATATTTTCTGAGATTTGGGGAGTTTGTTTCACATTGTAAGTTGAAATGTACTTTTGAACGACATTCTAATTGTCTTGTTTCACTTGTACCGCACCATATTTAGCTTGATTTAATTTTTAAGAAAAACGCTAATAAAGCATTCAGCATTTGACTCTGGACCAGAGCAGAAATGGTCCGAACCAAGCGGCTACTTCCCCTCTGCTGCTGTGACCTAAAGTGCTGTTGTATTTTATTACTGTTGTTAGCTATTTTTAGAATGATCTATTTATTTGTTTTGTTTGTGCATATGGATATGTTTCTGCTGCTACTACTCCTGAAATTCTCCTTCGGGGATCAATTAAGTATCTATCTATCTACTATATATATGTAGCGCTAAATGTACTGTATGTAATATATTTATACATATACGATATATATTTTTTGTGTCACGAGTGGCTCATGAAATCCAGTGTCTTTAGTCTGCAGTTTGTGATGACACTGCACATGCTTCAGTTGTGGTGTGACTTACAGTAGATAAAAAGTATCTGTGGCCTGTTTAACCTGGTGCATTGTGGGAAAGAGAAGCGGATGATAGAGTTTCCTGTTTGGAGCTGATGTGGTGAAAGCTTTTCCTTCTGCAGCAGGACACAGGGCAATGTAACTATTGTGACCATGAAGCAGGGAGCATCAGGAAACACTAGGCACAATGGAACAACCTCAGTGCAGAAAATACAATATGAAGTTGTACTGTATGGTTGTGGAATAAGTATCTATACGCTATTTGTTAAAACGTTTTCAATTCATTGGAAATAATCACGTATTCAACAATTGTTTTATAATTATAGCTTTGTTGCATTTATTATTTATTATACTTTATTATGGAAACAATACAACACGGTCCATAGTTAAAAGAAAATATCCAATGCACATATTCATTCATTCATTTTCATCCCCTTTATTATTCTATTTCTGGGTTGGGGGGGGGGGCAATTAGAGCTGCCACCCAATGCTCAAAGCACCGGTCCCTCACTGATCCTCTGCAGGTGGTGAGTCCACAGGAAGATGGCTGCTACATCTGTGGTGCCACAGCCTTGATGTTTCAGCAGGAGCTTCAGGCAATGTGGGGTTAAGTGTCTTGCCCAGGGACACAACAACAACAATAAGAAATGTATCATAATTATTACTTTTCTTTATTTTTATTTTTTAACAAGAACATTTAGATGTTTCCTTTTGTTTAACATTTGTATACTGAAGAAATCCAACACATAAAGTATTATTACTATCAATGCAGACTAAGATTTGTCTGAGAGCAAGACACATCATTAAATGAGCCACATCTCATCAGCCGGAGGTTGCTGAGCTCTGGACTAAAGTACGTCTCTTTTTTATTTCAGGATTTATCCAGAAGCTCTGGATACACTTTTCAACACAGAGATGTTCTGAATACTTCCCAGAGTCATGTATGTTCTGTGTCCACAGGTGTGAGGAGCAGACATGCCGGTCCCTCCACCACCACCTCCCCCAGCCCCTCCCCTGCCTCCCCCACCCCCCAGCAGTGCTCTGCCACAGGTAACACACATCCTTCAGAACAGTGAGAGAAATAACGACAAAGAACCTAATCTCAAATATAACACTCTATAAAGCTTTAATTGACCAAACACAGGTAACACATTGTTGACATGTTTTAGTCCAGAGTACTGCAATCCAGATCATGGCTGATGAGATGTGACACAGAGTATTCTTGGATATAGATATTTGAAAGGTGAGACTTAAAGCTGTCCTTTGCGGCAAACCGTGTATTACTAAATAGCACTGTTCTTTAGAGAGTCCAAGCTAAACAGTCACAAGTTTGAATAAAAATCCCTATATTCACTATATAGAATATTTTATGAAATACTGTAGGTCATGTTTGAGCTTGTCAAAAATGAACTTATAAAGATAATTACTTTGATAAATGACCAAGACGGATATAGCTTATCATCAGCACGGTGGCCTAAACCCGGGGTAAACAATGAAAGGAAGAGCCTACATCAAAGTCATGTTTTTGACCTCCATGGTGTGAACTTGACTACATTTATTGCAGAAAAAAAATGGAAAATGATAGTGTATTGGATGATCTCTGGTCCATGATGCAGCAGCCTCTGCACCTGTGCTGTGTCTGCATTATTCAGCAGTCAGTCACTAGGTCACACTACACTGTGACATCAGCAGACTCTGTCCCGGCCTCTTTCACTCACACACATTTTGGACACGTTAGAGTTATCTTTTACTACCAGGAAGAATAATAGTTATCAAACATAAAGAGACAAATACATGTTGAGCTGATCCTTTGTGATTGTCTCTGTTGGAACTTGTTACAGATGCACCTCTCAGATGGAGCACTGATACAATATTGATACTTTGAGATTCAGTGTCTGCTGATGTCTGATAACACACACCAGGGTAAGGGCGGTACACGGCATTTACTCCATCCATATTACAGAAACGGTTTGTACAACATTAGATCTAATTGTGTTGTTTAAGGAAGCGTAGAAACTCTGATAAAGGTACAACATTTTCAACCGAACGTGTGTTGCAGTGCAGATAGAGGAAAGACGTCGCTGCAGCAGATCAGTGATTTTTAAAACTGGATTTCACTATTGAAACAGGCAGCTCAAAGGACTGACACATCAGCCACAGAATAGTATCATCGTATGAAACATAAACTATAGCTCTAGTCTAATACCAATCTGATACCAATACCTTCATCCAACACAGGATTCAGATTCAGTTTATTTGCCATTTGCAACAATACAATAGAATACATGTGAAAAAGTCCCCAGTGTGCATATAGAACAAGCTAAAAGTACAGGAAACAATTGTCGCTGTGAAATCGATCAACAAAAACAGTTTTAAGTGGAAGATAATTACACTGCTTTTTAAAACTGATAACAGCCTGTGGAAAGAAACATATATCCAGCATCAGTGTCTGCGTGGAGGCAGCGCCGGATAGTTCCCTCATTGGGTCTTGTAAAGTGGACTCTAAAAGTGAAACTGAAAAGTGATGACTTCTGCTGTTTAACATGCCTTTAAACCAATCAAATGACTGTATAACTGTGTGTACAAATATTATGTAGTTCAAACTTTTGAATGATATTCTAAGTTTCAGAGTTTCAGTTCAGACTGTTTATTTAAGCTAAAAAGAGCAATACATACAGTTAATCCGACAAAAATTGACAATGTTTGTTTAAGTGCTACAGAGCTCAAAGGGAGTAGGCAGAAGTAAAGAAACACTCATGAAAGCCTCTCCCTTCATTGGCCTGCTCTTTAACGTGCTTTCAAACAAATGACTATATGACTATGTGTATGTAGTTACATGCTATTCATGCATTTGTGTCTTCGCGTTTAGACTATTGTAACAGTCTGTTTTCATGTTTAAACAAGAAAGACTGTCTCGCCTGCAGTTGGTGCAAAACTCTGCAGGGAGAATCCTGACCCGCACAAGCAGGAGGATCACCCCTGTCCTTAAAGCTCTTCATTGGCCGCCAGTGTCCTACAGGATACATTTTAAAATTCTGGTTTTAACCTTCAGAGCTTTGCACGGTCAGGCTCCGTCTTACATCAGTGACCTGATCCAGCCTTACACCCCAGCCAGGGCTCTGAGGTCTGTGGATCAGAACCTCCTGATGGTTCCATGCACTCGCTTCAGGACCAGAGGAGACAGGTCCTTCCAGGCAGTCGCTCCCAAGCTTTGGAACGTTCTCCTGCTCTCTCTGCGTTCTATAGAGTCTGTTGAGTCCTTCAAAAGTCAACTTAAAACACATTTATTTGTTCAGGCTTTTGCATAATTTTGTCTTGCCGTTATTCACATGGTTGTCTTGGCCTTTAAAAATGTGTCATGTATAAATGTTTTATACTATGTCTGTTTTTATACTATGTGAAGCGCTTTGTGACCCTGGTCTGTGAAGGGGGCTATATAAATAAATGTACTTACTTACATGTATGTGTGTTTGGCAGTGTCCTGAGCCCCCCAAGCCCCCACCCCTCACGGGAGGAGGGGGAGGAGGGGGGAGGAACGCCCTGTTAGCCGACATCCAGAGAGGGGCCCGTCTGAAGAAGGTCACCCAGAGCAACGACCGCAGTGCTCCGACCCTGGACAGTAAGGACACACCACCACCACAATCTGCACATGCGACTGTGTCTGCTCTCGCTCCTGTACAAGTCATGGATACATCGTCATGGATACATCGTCATGGATACATCGTCATGGATACATCGTCATGGATACATCGCCATGGATACATCGTCATATCACACACAGGGCACACTTCGGGATGGAATGTGTGTAAGAGCAGGAGCCTGTGTAGTTTGGGTTGTTATCAGTGCACAGGCCAGTCCAGGCCAGTCCAGGCCAGTCTGCTGATAAATGGAAAAACTTCTGACGTCATGTAGTGCCATGAGAGGCCTACGAGGGCTGCACCCTCTTGGGACCATCTCTAATCACAAGTTTTCTGACAAACAGAGCGATTAGAGTTTGTCTTGTCTATGTTGAAAAAAGAAGGATTTTATTTTGAGTACAGCAAACAGAAAACACTCAGTAAAAGTGTTCGTACAAACATAAAGAGTATTTCCATCCCACGTCTGGTGTTGATCTATGGAATCAAAGCATCAAAAAGTTTCCAAACTTTAAAGGATTGAAGAAGTAAACAGTAAACATGATTGCGCTGGAAAATAGGTACTTCTGAAATGTATGTTTGCACTTCTCGGACTTAGAACATTTAACTGAATGAATGCAATGAAGGGAAAGGTGTTAATGAGTTTGTTTTACTTCTGCTTACTCCCTTTGAGCTCTGTTGCATTTGTATCAACTGTATGTATTGCTCTGAGCTTAAATAAACTGTCTGAACTGAAACTCTGAAACTTAGAATATCGTTCAAAAGTATATTTAATGTTTTAATTTATTGTAAAATAATAATAAGTAATAACTTTTAGACTCATCACATGCAGAGTGACATATTCTAAGCATTTGTTTTTGATAATGTTGATGATTATGGCCCATTTTCTGAGACGTTTTAGTAGTGGAGGGCGACAGTAGTCGAGGGCGACACGACCTTCATTGGGCCTGAAGGTCGTGGGTTCAAGCCCACCATAAGACCTACTTCACGACTCCCACTGATGACTGCTGTTGTTGTGTCCTTGGGCAAGACACTTAACCCCACTTTGCCTGAAGCTCCCACTGAAAGATCTCAGCTCCTGTGGACTCAGGAGAATCAGTGAGGGGCTGATGCTAAGTGTACTGGGTGCAGCTCTGACTGCCACCCCCCCGACCCAGAAATGGATTAAGGGGAAGAAAATGGATGGATGGATGGATGGGTTTTTGTAGTGGTTCTACAGCTGTGAGCTAATTTTCAACATTGTGGCAAATAGAGGCTCCATGTGTCTTACTTTGTCTGTACTGGGTCTGAAGTAAATGGACTTTTCAACAATATTCAAATGTTCTCCTGTGTATTAACCCACATGTACGGTAGGGCTACAGGACTGGCAAAATATGAAAATGGGATGTTTTCTGAGTCACATTGCAATATGATTGTTCAGTACCTGTAGAAACACATCCATCCATCCACACAAACAAAACAAATAAGATCATTCTAAAAAAAGGTAACAATAGTAGTAAAATGCAACAGCACTTTAGGTCACAGCAGCAGAGGTGGAGAAGCCGCTCGGTTCAGACCATTTTCTCTGCTCTAGTTAAAAGTCAGAGGCTGAATGCTTTGTTAGCATTTTTGAAAGTAAGCAAGTATGAATCAGACAACTTGTGAGTGATACATTTACATTAAAGTTTAAGTATCCTGCAACCAGAATTGTTCAGTAGTAAGAATATACACTATGGTGGTCATACCTGCATGTGAAAGGCAGATCCCATCAGACCTCTGGGAGACCTCTGGGAACAGCAGGTGCCACAGTGGGGCGGCTGCGGCTGTGAAGTACTGTTGCTGTGTCCTTAAGCAAGACACTTCACCCACTTTAGAATAAGTCTGGCGTTTATGTGAATGGCTGGTTGTGGTCGGAGGGGCCGATGGCACAGACTGGTTACCTCGCTTCTGTCAGTGTGCCCCAGGGCAGCTGTGGCTACAGTAGTATTTTATCATCACAGTGTTTGGAAAGTAGCTCAGTTGGTAGAGCATTCGCCTTTGGGCCTGAAGGTCGTGGGTTCAAGCCCACCATAAGACCTACTTCACGACTCTCACTGATGACTGCTGTCGTTGTGTCCTTGGGCAAGACACTTAACCCCACTTTGCCTGAAGCTCCCACTGAAAGATCTCAGCTCCTGTGGACTCACCACCTGCAGGAGGATCAGTGAGGGGCTGGTGCTCTGTGAACTGGGTGCAGCTCTGACTGCCACCCCCCCGACCCAGAAATGGATTAAGGGGAAGAAAATGGATGGATGGATGGATGGAGCCTAAATAGAAGTTTAGTTGTTTTTATTATATTTTGATACATTTCTATTTTGTTTGTATTATTATTTGATGGAAATGCATTATTTTGTGGTTAGAAAATAATTATGATTATTTGGCAATTGATTTAATTTGATATATTTTGCATCTAATTTAGTTAATTATTTTGTTAATCATTATTGCTAAAGTTAATCATGGATTCGTTTTGATCTAATATATATTTCATATTTTTTCTCACTCCTGGCCCAGGCTAATTAAGGCGCAGGTGTGCCAGGGAGGGGAAAGCATGGAGTGTGGAGCGGAGCCACACAGTTTTTTGACCTCTCTCTAAGTCCTTTCCTTTTTGTCCAGTATGTGTTTTTTTGTGTGAATACTCAGTAAAGAGTTTTTAATTGCATCTTTCTGTTCCATGGATTTTATTCACTCGCACTGTACACTATGGATTATGGTTTGAGAGCGTCAACTACACGGCTTCACAGTTTGGACCCAAGATTCACTTTGCCATTTATTAAAAACATGTAATCACCCTTTCAGCTCACAGCTGCATGAGATCCTTGTCTACGGTGATCTGGCTCCACCTTGTGTCTGCTTCACATCACATTTCTGGACAGTGGTCATCCCGCTCCCTATGGACCAATGGCTCCTATGTGTTTATTAGTAGTTTAATTGTTTGAATCTCTGATAGGTTGTTGGCAAATTATTAACTGAGACAATTGCTGTTGTAGTTTAGGGATTTACAAGACACTCAAAGAAGCTTCACATGTCAGTATACATTCACTCCATACACATCTGTGATAAAGTACTACTGTAGCCACAGCTGCCCTGGGACACACTGATAGGCGTTTGAGCAGTTCTTCTCACTAAATGAAGATTGTCCTTGGGCGGCACGGTGGCTGAGTGGATAGCACCCTTGCTTCTCAGCAAGAAGGTCCTGGGTTTGAATTCCGGTCGGAATAGGAGTGGAATTTGTATGTTCTCCCCAACATGTACAATAGGTATGAATGGTGTTGTTTGGGGCTTTGATTTACCAGTGTGTTCACCGTCTTGCTTCCGTCATCACCACTTGGAGAGAATTAAACATTATCTGAACTCTGAACATTGTAAAGCGCTTTGGGTAGCCTTAGTTTGTAAAAAAGCGCTAAATGAATAAAGATTATGATTGTACGGCGTCTTTGACCTTGTTGTCATGTGATTTAACTGTTTGATCTTTATGGTCATCTCAGGTGATAATAATTTGTCCTCATGTTGCTTGTTTTGTCAGATTCTAAATCCAGTGCTGGAGATGGGTCAGCAGCTCCTTCAGGTGGGACAGCCCCCATGGTCCCCTCTCTGGGAGGGCTGTTTGCTGGGGGCTTCCCCACCCTCCGGCCAATCGGACAGAGGGACCTGAACGGCAAAAACCCAGGTTTGTATCATATTTAGATATCTACTGATGTGTGCTTCCTGATGCAGTGAGGTACGTCCCACAGGAGGATCAGTCACTGTTTGTAGGTCTCTTAAACGTGAGAACCTTCACCTTTCAATTTTTGGAAACAAAGCCAACAGCAACTTATGATCCCTGATTATCCCGATCAGGGGTCAGAAATGTCCATCCTCTGGATCACAACAATGTAGAATAGACTTAAATCTTTTGAAATTGTGTGAATAAAATGCATCTAATTGAAATTGTGTGAATAAAATGCATCTAAAATGTCCATCGGACTGGCTTTACCGTTGCTATGGCAACCACATTGGCAATTATCCCAATGGCGTTGGAAACAAACTCGCAAACTTGCCATAGCAACGGTTGCCATGGCAATCATCACTAAGAAAACAGTTAGCATGGACTCCGTTGCTATGGCAATCATCACAATGGCACTGGGAACAAACTCCCCCCCAAATACTGTAGGTGATTGCCATAGCAACGATTACCATGGTGACTGTTGCATAGGACACCATCCCTATGACAACCGTTTCCATAGCAATAAAAATGGCAACCATTACCATGGTAATGGTTACCATGGCAACCATTGCTACGGCAACCGTTGCTTTGGCAATCACTATGGTAACAATAACTTCTTTGTCATTGTGAAATTCAAATGAAATTCAAGAGAAACAAATGATTGCCATAGCAACAGTTGCCATAGTGGTTGCAATTGCAACGGTTGCCATGAGGACTGTTGCCAGGGCAACCATCACTATGACAGCAGTACCATGGCAACTGTTGCTATGGAAACTACCATCACTATGACAAAGAAGTTCTTGTTACCAGGACAACAGTTAACATAGTGATTGCCATAGAAACAGTTGCTATGGTTACTGCTATTGTGATTACCATAGCAACGGTTGCCATGGTGACTGTCGCCATGGCAACCATTACTGTGGTAACTACATTGGGAATCATCACAATAGCACTGGGAACAAACACCCAAACTTGCCATAGCAACGGTTGCAATGGCAATCATCACTATGAAAACAATTACCATGAACTCCATTGCTTTGGCAACTACATTGGCAATCATTACAATGGCACTGGAAACAAACTCCCAAAAAGGTTTAAGTGATTGCCATAGCAACGGTTGCCATGGTGACTATGACAATTGTTCCCATGGCAACCATTGCTATGGAAACCACACTGGCAATTATTACTATGACACTAGAAACAACTTGAAATGATTACTATAGCAATGATTGCACTGGTGATCATTGCCATAGTAACCATCACAGGGACAACCATTACCATGGAAACTGTTGCTATGGCAATGACCCTGGAAACCATCGCTCTGGCAACAAGAAACTCCCAAAAATATTGAGTTGCAAGAAATTCCCATTAAAGTAAGATTAACCATATTGTCTGTTGTCATATCACAGTTGCAAGGGTGATTGTTTCCATATTTCCATAGCAACCATGACAAGCTAACCGTTGCCATGGTTGTGGTGGTTTTTTTTTTGCAACATTGACATACTTGTAATTAGAGAAACAGCAGACTCTTGCAAGAGCTCATCATCCTCATCAAACTTTATCACAGACTCATGGTCCAGGATAAGACAAACACATCACACAAAACACAAAACAACACATACATCTGATTTGTTTGTTTGTTTTTTCTGAAGTCATATGAAGTAATCACAATAATAGTCTTATTGGGATTATATAATACTAGTAGTTCTAACAGTAGGATGTGTTTGTGTACAGTGCTCCGCTCCAGCTCCACTGCCTCCCTGAAGCCTCTGTGGAACGCCCCGCCCTCTTCCTCCTGTGACCTGAGCTCTGCCCCTGACCTGCTCTCCAGAGTCAGCCCCTCTTCCCACCGCCCCCTAATCCCCTCGGCCTCCGCCCCTCCCTCCCCCTCACACGGCTGCCACGCCCACCACCGTCCGCCTGTGCAGAACCCACCCCCTCCCCCGCTCATGGCACTCCCGGCTCCTCCCCCACCCACAACACTCTCGGCCCCACCTCCTCCCCCGCTCTCAGCTCCTCCCCTGCTCTCAGCTCCTCCCCCACTAGCTTCATACTCTGCCCCTCCTCCCCCACCGCCACCACTTATCCCGCTCTCAGCTCTGCCCCCTCCTCCCCCGCTCTCACCGCCTCCTCCCCCGCTCTCACCCCCTCCTCCTCCTCCGCTGGCCTTCCAAGACCGGCCCACGCACCGGCCGCCCCCTCCGCCGTCCCTGGCCCCGCCCCTCACCAGGCCCAGCTGGCTCCCTTTGCAGAGCTCCGTACCACCTCCTCCTCCCCCTCCTCCCCCTGTGTTCTACCGCCCGCCCTCCCCCATCAGGCCTACCTCCTCCTCCCCCTCTTCCCGCCTGCTTCACCCCCACATGCCCATCCAGCCTGCCTCCTCCCCCTCCGCCTCCCACAGTGCCCCCTGTGCCCTCCCCTGCAGCCCGCTACTCCCTCCCCCCGTCTTACCCCTGCCACGCCCCGACCAGGAGGCCCCCCGCTGTTCCCCGTGGCCCAGGTAAGACCTACAACGTTTCTGTTCGATTCTTCTTTTATCAAACTTTTCACACAGTGGTTGTCAGACCAAGTCATTAAATTATATTCAATTAAATTCATTCTAGTACAGCCTGAAATCATAACATTATATCTCGGGCTGTGGATTCGTCAACACAGATCAGAGAATAAAACTGTTCAAACACAGGAAATGCAACACATAGAGCCGTTGGTCCATAAGGGGCAGATGACCAATGTCCTACATGTTGTTGAATGTGGAGTGTTCAGGATCATCACCACTGTCCTTAGACCGTCCTGCATCAGCAAGGAACCAGTCTAAAAATCCAGTGGGAAAAAAGAGAGAGACTTCTGGGGGGCCCCACATTGAGGGAGTGATCTGCTCCCACAGACGACTGTATTACATTGTTTTAGATCAATATTGATAGAAAATATTCCGATTAAGTATAATCACAGCGCTCTGTGTCAAACTGTGCTCTCTTTTATTACAGGTCGTCTGGCCCCGCCCCCAGCCCCTCCCACTCGCTCTCCCAGCACAGAACTGACCAATCGCATACCGCCGCCACCGCCCCCTCCCCCTCTGCTCCTGTCCAGCCTGAGGAACGGTCTCTTGCACAGTCTGGGTACTTTCTGTTTTCTCTAATTCTGTTCACTTTCATGGAGCTTTACAGTATGCATAACATTAATTTGTATACATTTTTTTAAATTTTATACAAAAATACAATGATATAACTGAATAACGTTTTTTTAATATTATTTGGGGCCTGTTAGTTAGTTAACCCCTCCATGATGGCTTCATAGAGGTACAGGCTCTGGCTTCAGGTGGCTTTGAGAGATATTTGTCTTCATTAGCTCGAGTAATTTTCCCATTTGATCATAATTGTATAATATCTACAACAGCCTGTGCTGGCTCTGTGTTTGCAGATGATTTTGAGTCAAAGTTTCAGTTCCATCCAATAGAAGACCTCCCCCCTCCAGAGGACTTCAGGCCTGTCCCTCGGGTCTACCCCAGCAAAGAAAACAGAGGTATTTAACGTTTAATGTTTTTCAAACAAAACAAGTGAATGATGGCTAATGATGATAGAAACAATGCAGAAGTGGTAATATGATTATTATTTTGAAAGACAATAGCCGTGTTCAGAACTGTCACTTGCCTTGGTGACGTATTCTTTATAAGCTTCCTGAGTAGGCGTGGCCAGCTTGATTGACCAGACAGCTCGCTCAGACTGAAGTTCAAGAAAGATGAGTTTTGTCAGGTGCTCATCAGGATCAGCAGTTAAAACACATCGGTAATACTTGAGGTAAAGAAGAAGTCCAAGGCACTCTTGACAGTAAATAAAAATCTCGTAATGAACAGGGACTCTGGGAGTGTAAATGTGGCTCAGACTTATTCAGCAGATGACAGTTCTGAAGATGGCTTGCGGCTCGAAAGAATCACAAAAGTACAACTGAACCCAAGAAGATAAAATGTACCTTCTCAAATCGCAGGAGTTGGTAGAATTGTAGAATTTGCTGTTTTGAGGAACACACAATGTTTAAAAGGACACAAGATGCATACTAGAGCAGAGAGGGATTTGTACTGAATATTAAATTGTCATCTTTTTTATTTAATAGTTGAATAGAGTGTGTATGATGAGCCATATGCAGCAGACAGAAGCTTCTTATGTTTCCTTTCATTTGTAACACCTCTGTGTCCCACTGCAGGTCCTCCAAAGCCACCTGCCATCCGGACACACCTCCGCTGAGCCTTGTCCTGCCCCTGTTTGTGTGAGTGTGTGTGTGTGTGTGTGTGTGTGTGTATACGTACGTGTGTGTGTGTGCTTCGGTTCTCACAATATCGAGAAGATTTTAGAAAGTTTGAAGTATTGTTTTTTTCCTCTTTATTTTGACCCGTTCCTGTATTCCTTGTGGTGAAAATGCAACACGGGTTCAAACAACACACCTCTCTTTCCCACCGTTGTCCCAGGCATTTCACACAGGTCTGAAGGGTATAAAGGCTCATTATTTCTTGTTGACGGAATTGTGATATTTCCGTAATCATGTAGCATTGAATTAGAACAAGTTTGTGGCATTAGCACAATCTTTCCCAGAAATACGACTTTGAGCGAAGTGTGAGGAGTCTTGTTCGACAGGTTTTGTTGTAAACGTTTGTTTGCACCGGTCTGGAAGCACTTTGTAAAGATAAATGTTAGAGTATAATCACAATCACAGTGTTATGTTATATTGAAGAATAATCACATGCCTGTTGCGTCCTGCACACATGTTTAGAAAGTCCCCCAAAAAGCACAATTAAAACTTCAAATTTGGTGAAACGTCATGATGATGACTTTCCCATATCTTTACTTTCAGATCGGCCTTGCACATGCTTTCAAACTTTTGATTTATTGAATCGTATTTTTCGGAATCCATATGGGGGAAAAGGAATAGTATTTGTATCTTTTTTTTTATTGTGTATTATTATTATTATTATATTATTAATTCATTATAAAATCTATTTAGATATTAGCTCTGTCAGTTAAACATGTCATTAAAGGTGTAAAGGCGTCAACTTTTTTATTGCGCAATTAACATTATTGTTTGCCTAGTACACAGACATTAGCCCAAGCAGTTTCCAGTCCGTGTTGTGCTCCAGGCTTCTACAACGGGCACGTATCAGTACACATGACAGTGCACTGCAGGCGTTAGAGAAAACAAAAGCAGTCGCACTCAATGACCATTACTGGACATCATTAGAAATTATCTCGAGGTCACAGCGACCTTTTAGGACGAGACTTTTAGAACAGAAACAAATGTGCGATTGTGAGTTAACTATGACAATAACACAGTTGAATATTTGAATTGTTAGACAGCTATACTAAAAATACAACAGACCTAAGTGCACTACCACAAAATGTTGGCTTTATTATTATCAATTGTTTGTTAATGTCCCAAATGAGTCCAAAATTCAAATGCGCCTAAGTCGTCTTTAGTTTGTTTTTCAATGTTAAAAATCTTTTCATTTCAAGTTTCTGCTTGTCTTTCTTCAAACGTTGCTAATGATGAGGTGCTGATACTTATTTTCATTGTGTAACTTGTATCACTTGTCCAAAGATGTGTGTGTTGTAAAAGTGAATGAGTTTTTGAGTTTTGTGTTGAATTTATTGATGAAGGTGAAGCAGCTTTTTTCCACCAGCGTAAACCAAAGACAACTCTGCCACCTGCTGGAAGAAAGTGTGAACTTACAACACGCAAAAAAGACCAAATAAAGCAGACTATCTACAACCGTCTTTCCATTCAATTCTTTCTATTAAAAAAGTGGTTTAACACAAACACAGACGTATACAGACATTTATGATTTTTAGAAGATAAAAACACAAAAATTAACAGAAAATAATAGAAGTTTGACCAATAAACGAAGCAGTTTTCTTGTTCTGATTGCCAGAAGAAAACACCCTGGATTTAAATATTTGTTTCTGACAAATATTTTTGAGTTTTGCTCAAGTCTGGCAAAATGTGTCTTGATTTGAGGACATTCTGACCAATGCAGGCAAAATGATCTTGTTTTAGAAAGAATGTCTCCCTTGGAATAAAGCAAATCTTACCTCATATTTTATCATCTTTACAGTGTGAGAGGAAGACATACAGTCTGTTTATGATTGTAGTGTCATTGATAATAATTCCAGATTGGTCAAGAGGTAAGAATGAAGTAAGAGTTTAGGGTCATCACACTTGAACGCTGCACTTTTGGCTCACTACACTGAGTGACGTGAAAGCACCTTAATTGCAATGAACCGAATCCTCCATTTTTGATATGAAGAGGTTTTATCACTCCGACAGCTATTATGGCTACATCACTGCACAGGAAATTTGTCAAAAGTCCTCTTGGTCAAATATTTTTAAAGTCTCATATGACATTTTGGGTAACTTTCTTGACAGATGGCCCTAGTGGCATTGCGGGGTGGGACAAATGCAAAAAAAGAACACCTTAGCATTAGATCTCCAAGGTCCTGGTGTTTTTAAGGTTGATTATGTCTTTGTCAGTCCAGACTTAATAGAGTCCTTAAAACTGACCAATCCAGTGCCTTCTGTCCCTGAATCCAGGCTTTGCTCCTGATTGGCTCTTTGGTTGCTGGATCGTTGCTACCACAAATTCTGCTCCAGATTCACATCCACAGGGTCTGGCCTGTTTGATTTAGCTCTAGTCAGCTTTTTCCCATATGAAAACACTATGGGTGATGCTAGCTCTCCTTGGTTAGTCCACTCCTTCTACATTCTATGATCCTCTGTGGTCTCTAAGCCTGTAGGTGGACTCTACAAGCACAGGCCCTCACAGTCTCACGGTCCCAGGTCCCAGTCCCTGCAGTCTCACAGCTCGTCGTGCTTGTAGGTGAACTCTCTGGAGGTCAAGTATCCGTCTTTGTTCTGGTCTTCCTTCTTGAAGATGTTGTTCATGATGATCTCGTTCAGCGTGTCATTGGGAGGCTGTCCGTTCTGTTCAAACTCCTTCTTCAAGTGCGCAATCACCTGAGCAACACAAGAGTGTGTGAGGATAGAAATAAAAACAACTGACCCCCAGAACATGCCCTTTCTGTTTGCTCTTGAATCCCCCACACGTTTTGGACACAGATGTTTTTTGTCCATCTCCAGAAGTTACACAGTTACACAAGTTGTGCAGTTAGAGACCTGAAATGGAGTGGGAAGAAGTAAGACCACCCTATCTACAGTATATTCAATGGTGCCATACCTCACCAGGGCATCAGAGAACTCCACCGCAACATCGGCCAATCTCCTCCATGCCTCTAGTACCCGCCATAGCACCCACCCATGTGTATAACATGCCATAGTAGCCCACATTCACCTGTCATTGTTTGAATGGTTTTCAATATTTTCAGGTCCCCCTCTAACACCCTCATACCCCTCTGGGTCCAGGTTCCCCCAGTTGGAAAACAATAGCAGAGAGGCTGCTGATAGTTTAAGTACATTTTAAATCTGCACCATCTGTTCCTGAGTGTGTTGCTGCAGAGCACAGAGGCAGAGGTACCTCGCTCCTGGACAGTCTCCAGTCGTCATTGAGGTCCATCTCCTGAAAGGCCTCATGGGAGCGCGGCCCGTTCCGGATTTCCAGCAGCTCGATGAGGAAGGTGAGGGTGCTCTGAGGAGGGATCTTACCTGCACCACACACACACACACACACACACACACACACACAGTCAGGCTCCAACAGGGACTACTACACACCGCCATGTTTTGTGGTGGTGGTGCGTGGTTAACACTTGCTTCACAGCAAGAAGGTCCATGGGTTTGATTCCACCTCCAGAAATTGCGTGCATGGATTATGTCCATAATATTTATGATTACAATTTTCCAGCAGATGATCCAAGCAGTTATTGTCTGACGTTAAATCCGTCCATGGCACTACATTGCAGGGGTAGATCACTGCAGACGCAGCATCACTGGAAAAGCTGCACTTAAACGTTCAATTTGTTCAAAATGATGGGTGAGCTGATGCCACACTTTGGCACTCAGAATTTGGCATTTGATTTTCATTAGAAAACTTCAACATTAAAACTGTTTGTAAATCAACTCTGAACTTATGATTACGTTTCTTTGAGGAAAAACAAAGGCCTCTCTTACAAACTAGTCATTTCCAAAGGTGGGTGGTGTTTCCTCACCTTTCCCCTCTGCTCCGTAGGCCAGAGCTGGAGGGATGACCAGCTTCCTCCTCTCTCCTGCACACATGTCCTGCAGACCCCTGTCCCAGCCAAGGATCACCTCCCTGACGCCCAGAGTGAACCATCCCGGCTGCTTGTCTCCATGGATACGACTATGGACGCACACTTTCATTAGGGAACAAATATCCAAGTATGTATGCTAATTAAGTCATGAGAATAATATATATTATAAGCAAGTTTCTCAAACTTTTAAACTTGCGTCTGTTCTTTTCTCTGACACAAAGAAACCCAAAAGTTATGTAACTAAAGTATGTAATTACTTTTTTAAGTAACTAGTAATTTGTAACTAATATTTCAAAGTAACTTACCCAACACTGCTCTCAGCCTATTAAAAGACAGTTGTCAGTGCGTAAGTGCAGCTGTTGTCTCCAAACTGCAGTGACATACAGGATAATGAAGAATAAAATCAGTTGTTGTGTTGTACCTTGAGTGGAACAGGGTCCCGTTCTGGAAGTATCCTGCCTGATGCACCAGCAGCAGGTCTCCAAACTTGGACTTGCGATGGCAGATGAAAGGTCTGTGCTGGACGTGTATCTTGACCTCCCCCTCCTCCTCCTCCTGTGCGCCCGGGACCCCAATGACCCCCGGAGAGACGCACCACAGCGCGGAGAGCAGCAGCGGCAGCAGCATGGCACAGGGACAGAGAGACACCAGGACCCCGCGCAGAGAAGCAGGAGCAGGAGCAGCGGAGAAGAGGCGCAGTCTTCTCTACGTGGCAGTCTCATCAGCAGAGGCAGAGTGTGCAGACGCTGTGATCTGATTGGTTCATTCCACAACTCTAGTCCCGCCCACCGCTCCTCCCCTGACTCACACCAAAACATACATTAGTGCAGTGTCTCCCAAAGTGGGGTCCGCGGCCCCCTGGTGGGCCGCGAGGGTACTGCAGGGGGGCCGCGGGAGGTCATAAAAAAATATATATATAATTATTTAATGTTAAATTTATAATGTTTTGTTTGTAATATTAAAATATTTGTTCATTATTTGACTTGAATAAGCCACTGTAATCATTTTTGTATTACAATGTTTGTAGCAGAGGCTATTTCCCCAAAATAAAATAACCAGAAGAGCCTATTCTTAATGTTGTCTTCTTGGTTATTATTATGGGGGGCCACGCAGACCCGTGGGATTTTTAAGGGGGCCTCGTTGTTACTGAGTTTGGGAATGGCTGCATTAGTGGATAGTAGAGCCCTGCACTTGAGCCCTTGGCCCGAGGGCCCCGACGGCCCGACAGCCCGAGGGCCGGGCTTCGGGCCGATGACCGCATAATGACCTCGGACACGGGCCGGGCTCGGGCTCTTCATTTTCAGAGCGGCAGAATAGATTTACGAACGCACCCACTGAATATAGCGTTCTATCACGCTGTAGTGTTTGTTGTTCTGTGTAGTGTTGTCATTGACGACACACAGCGTTACTTACGGGTGTGTTGCACCATCTGGGCATCATACAGCTGTGTATCATACAGATGTTCACTCTGCACCACTCCGCACACACAGAACTCATTGCAACACATCACTACCATGTATAACTCCGCCCTCTAGCTAAGTCTGCGTTCATATCAGTGCGCGGCACTATATACTACGCTAAAACATTGTTATGGGAGGTTACAAAAAAAAAAAAAAAGGCGGGCTTGATGCGGGTTTCGGGCCTGAAAATTCAGAAACCATATCGGGCCGGGCCGGGCTGGGGCGCCACCCCCTCGGGCCAGGGCCGGGCTCGGGCCCAGATAATAGGCCCGTGCAGGGCTCTAGTGGATAGAGCAGATTTCAGGAACACTACATTTAACTTGACCCTGAGTCTTTCTTGTGCCATAACAACTTAAGAATCCTCTTTTTCTTTCTTTTTGTACATACCATTGCTGTAAAGAAGTTGCCACCAGAGTATCATATCTTCAAAGAGTATTTCACCAACAAGCTGCAGTATAAATGTCACAATACTTACCTTGAAATTACGGAAGCTTGTTAGGTTCACTTGTGAGTGTTTTTTGTTGTTGCTACATGATACCAATTTATCATTTTATTTATTTATGAAATAACATGATAGTAGTGTATCATGAAATAACATGATATTTATCATGTTATTTCATGTAAGTATCATGAAATAACATGATACCAGCGGGAAAAAACACACTCACAAGTGAACCTAACAAGCTTCTGTATGAAATAAACCTTTGTTTTTCTTACACAAAAAAGAAAAGATTTCAGAAAAGTGCACATGGGAACAGAAATGGAGACCCTAGATAAAAGAACGACATAAAATCAGCTAAACTAATTGCCTTGCTTTATTGACAAAAGTGAAGGTTACTGGGAATAAAGTTAAAACCTGAATCCTGTTTGTGGACCCATTTAAAATTATTCAAAAGTTTTTTTTTTTGTACAATTCTTTGTATTATCTTTAGTGGTAAACTTTTCACAACACACATATGTGATAAGCAGAATCATATTTCCTCATTGACACAGACACAGACACAGTTGTATCCATGGCGACACTGGTCACACAACTTTATTCTCACATTCTCTCTTGTTACATTGTTCATTCATGCTGTTTACACGTTAGATCTGAGCAAAAACTGAACAACGTCACTATTTTTCTTGTAATGAAAACTTCAAATCAGTTTAAAATATTTACAGAGCTGACAAGGAAATATTTGCTGAACTTAAAGCAACAAGTCTCTCAAAAAAGGAAAACAAAAAATTAGGTTAACAATTTATGTGAGATATTTTTCACTCTCTCTCTTTAGCAATTCTTTATAAAATGTAAAATGTCCTCTAAATATAAAGGTCGACATTTGTCTGTGTGCAAAAAACAAAACAAAAACAAATGTATTTAAAGTGCTATCAGGAAAGTTGTTGTTTTAGTCTTTTGACAACACTAAAGGCAATGTGCACACTGACGAGATTACTGATTAAACTTAAACTATAAATGTTAATTATAATAGTGATCTGAAAAGTTTTTGTTGCTAAAATCGTGCAGCGCAACCAAACATTCAACTGGTTCAAGATAAATATATCTAAAGATCTAAACCTCAATACTTTTTAAAATTGAAAAAAATTGCATGCCTTTTCAACAACAGCCACCTGAAAACAAAGTCAGGAACTAATGGATAAATTTGTTTTGGTGAATCTGCATAAATGTTGCCACGATATATTTTTTTAGTTCAGAATGCTGTTATTAAGTGATATCCGCTTAGAGAGATTCACTGTGTTCTGTTTTAACCCTGTATTATTGAAAACACTGGTCACCTGTCACCCTGTATTTAAAACACTGGTCACCTGTCACCCTGTATTTAAAACACTGGTCACCTGTCACCCTGTATTTAAAACACTGGTCACCTGTCACCCTGTATTTAAAACACTGGTCACCTGTCACCCTGTATTTAAAACACTGGTCACTTGTCACCCTGTATTTAAAACACTGGTCACTTGTCACCCTGTATTTAAAACACTGGTCACCTGTCACCCTATATTTAAAACACTGGTCACTTGTCACCCTGTATTTAAAACACTGGTCACTTGTCACCCTGTATTTAAAACACTGGTCACTTGTCACCCTGTATTTAAAACACTGGTCACCTGTCACCCTATGTTTAAAACACTGGTCACTTGTCACCCTGTATTTAAAACACTGGTCACTTGTCACCCTGTATTTAAAACACTGGTCACTTGTCACCCTGTATTTAAAACACTGGTCACTTGTCACCCTGTATTTAAAACACTGGTCACTTGTCACCCTGTATTTAAAACACTGGTCATTTGTCACCCTGTATTTAAAACACTGGTCACCTGTCACCCTATATTTAAAACACGGGTCACTTGTTACCCTGTATTTAAAACACTGGTCACTTGTCACCCTATATTTAAAACACTGGTCACCTGTCACCCTGTATTTAAAACACTGGTCACTTGTCACCCTGTATTTAAAACACTGGTCACCTGTCACCCTGTATTTAAAACACTGGTCACCTGTCACCCTGTATTTAAAACACTGGTCACTTGTCACCCTGTATTTAAAACACTGGTCACCTGTCACCCTGTATTTAAAACACTGGTCACTTGTCACCCTGTATTTAAAACACTGGTCACCTGTCACCCTATATTTAAAACACTGGTCACTTGTCACCCTGTATTTAAAACACTGGTCACTTGTCACCCTGTATTTAAAACACTGGTCACTTGTCACCCTGTATTTAAAACACTGGTCACCTGTCACCCTATATTTAAAACACTGGTCACTTGTCACCCTGTATTTAAAACACTGGTCACTTGTCACCCTATATTTAAAACACTGGTCACTTGTCACCCTGTATTTAAAACACTGGTCACTTGTCACCCTGTATTTAAAACACTGGTCACTTGTCACCCTGTATTTAAAACACTGGTCACCTGTCATCCTATATTTAAAACACTGGTCACCTGTCACCCTATATTTAAAACACTGGTCACTTGTCACCCTGTATTTAAAACACTGGTCACCTGTCATCCTATATTTAAAACACTGGTCACTTGTCACCCTGTATTTAAAACACTGGTCACTTGTCACCCTATATTAAAAACACTGGTCACTTGTCACCCTGTATTTAAAACACTGGTCACCTGTCACCCTGTAGTTAAAACATTGGTCACTTGTCACCCTGTATTTAAAACACTGGTCACTTGTCACCCTGTATTTAAAACACTGGTCACTTGTCACCCTGTATTTAAAACACTGGTCACTTGTCACCCTGAATTTAAAACACTGGTCACTTGTCACCCTATATTTAAAACACTGGTCACTTGTCACCCTGTATTTAAAACACTGGTCACTTGTCACCCTGTATTTAAAACACTGGTCACCTGTTACCTTGTATTTAAAACACTGGTCACTTGTCACCCTGCATTTAAAACACTGGTCACTTGTCACCCTATGTTTAAAACACTGGAAATAAAAAGGATACAAACACAAAAACAACCCTAAAAGTAATATATTTTGGTAAAAAGCATTATTAATATTCAATCTTTAGAAATGCTTTAATTTAATTTACTAAATAGACCAAACTATGACAAATTGCAAAAGATAGAAATTTTAGCATTTATATTTTGTGGTTTTTACTACATTTGTATATTTGTCTCAAGGTTTTTCATCAACTCCTGCTGCACACAAAGTTCACTGGTACCCTCCTCAAGTTTAGGGGGGGTCGGCAACGGATGAAGCGGAAGAAAATGGATGGAAAGAAGTTTAGGGCTGCATAATAAATGTATGGAAATATGAGCGACAATAGAAATTGAAATCATGACAATAGTTGGTTTGAATTTTAGCTCAGATTTGGTTTCAGACTTTAGAACAATCGTTTTGTTGAACATTCAGTAATCACATTTTCACGAGCACACAATAATATGAATACACGATTAGGATATCTGAGGCGTCGATACGATACTTTCTTTGTGTTTCCTTGTTACATTTACTGTTTATTCCGTACATTTACACGCCGTTTCCAAGCAACTGTTGAAGGTTCATAATGCTTTATAATAACAACACAGCAGCATGTTGGTTGGCCACGCAACGTCTTTAGTAAATCTTGACTATATTAAAAGTTCTGTAATTAACATTGGTCTGTGTAGTTTAATGTATTTGATTTATTTTATCATAATGTCCCAAAATGGGCATATTAATAAAATAATATAAAGTGCCATTTTTGGATGACAGACCACAGTTGAAATTGATTGACAAAGAATTATAATATGTCAATGTCAATGTCAACTTTTTTTTTATAGCACATTTAAAATGCCAAAAGCCCAAAGTGCTTTACAAATTGGCTAAAAACATAATAAAAACAATTATGTACAACAGGCAATAAACAGAAAAGATAAAAAGAGAGATTCAGCTCAACGCATGTTAAAAAGCCAGTGAAAAGAAATGGGTCTTAAGGGATTTAAAATTGACCAGTGAATCAGCGGCTCTGACCCACGGTGGTAGATAGATATAATAATTCACAAATATACAATAAGATCTGTATTTTTCTGAATTTTCAAGAGCACTTTTAAAAAGAAAAAAACTCCTATACTCTGGATTGTTTTGGGCTTGTTTTATAAAATAAGACAATGGGCAATTGACATTCACATTTGATAAGGTAAAAATTCAGAATACATTCTTTAGCCTTTTTTATGTCATTGATATTACAGCATAAAGATGCATAAAATACTGTTGGGATTAGTATTAGTTAAACAGTTTGACAATGCCATCTAGGAGAAATGAGGGTGTGGTCTGGGGACTGAGGGGCGAGCAATGGCGGCACCCGGTTATGAGAACATGAATAACTCCATCATGCCTGAATCACACCAAAAACAGCTTTATGTGAGAATGAAAGAGGAAATCTACTTTGCAGAACATTCTAAATGCTGGAGCTGGAGCCCTGACTAGAACCAGGAAGTACCATCACATTAGTCCAGTCCTCAGGTCTCTGCACTGGCTTCCTGTGGCTCAGAGAATAGACTTTAAAGCAGCTCTAAGTCCCTCCATGGCCTCGCTCCAAAGTACATCTGTGACATGTTAGTCCCATATGAACCAACTCAGACTCTGAGGAGCACAGGGACTGGCCTCCTGCTGGGACCCTGAGGCAGCGTTTCAGATTTATGAAGTCTTCTTGAAAATGTGTTATTTAGCTGTTCATACAAGTGAAGGTTTATTTTTAATGCACTGGAATAATTCATGATTTTTATATCTTTTCTTGTTTTGTTCAGCACTTTGAGTTGCCTTGTGTATGAACTGGTCAAAATCAGAATTTTAGATGATGTCCCCTTTAAGGACTCTGGCTTGACCCCGTTGTAAAGACAGGATATTTCCCTTATATTACTCTAGCCCAGGGCTCTCCAACCTATTGCCCGGGAGCTACCAGTAGCTCACCACCCTGTTGCAAGGATCCCCCAAAAGGATTTATAACTGCTATAAATATTTAGCAAAATGTAAGATTCATATGCACACATCTATTGTAAATGCAAACAAAAGCTGTGCTAAAAGATAATGAGTATATTGAGATATTGAGTCTAAATTGTGTCATGGCCCCATCTAAGGCCAACTCTCGTCATTAAATAGACATTTTTTTTCCCAGTCAGTTAAAGGTACTGTATATATCGGAGGATTTCCCCAAATTTTAAGATCGTTCACTGCTCTCCCTGCTACTAAACATGTGTGAGAGACGTGCACGAGGAGAACTGGCCTCGTGCACGTCTCTGTTTACAAGTCACTGTCGGCATCGCTCACACAAGCTCACTATGTCAGACTCGCCACCAGTGAAAATATTTTCTTAAATTAGTATTTGAAAAGCCAATCGTATTCAGGGATGCTAAATAAACCCTGGATATGACACGGTGGCTGAATGGATAGCACTCTCGCTTCTCGGCAAGAAGGTCCTGGGTTCAAATCCCAATCGTAACAGGGCCTTTCAGAGTGGAGTTTGCATGTTCTCCCTGTAGGTTCTCTCTGGTACATTAGGTCTGGTATGGGCCTCTCAATGCTGACTCTGGTCTGTGAAAGGTGCTACAAAAAGAGTACTTACTTACTTAAAAAGGCTGCATCATAGCTGTTTCATGCTGCAGGCTAAAAAACCAGCTATCATTTCTAAATTGTTTTAATTTTTTGGCGTTAAGAGCATTTCTATCAGTGAAAACAAATAGATCCATGCTACTTGGGGAAAAGCACGTACGACGGCCTTACATCACCAGAATGATTGACAATTAGGAGGGCCAATAGTCTTGATGATCAACCTAGAAAAAGAAATCCTGCAGCTCACTGTAATTTTAGTTCAGAGAAAAAAGCTCTACGGGTGAAAAAGGTTGGAGACCCCTGCTCTAATATCAAAGCTTTCTGCATGATGTAGTAGTAAACATTTCTAGCGCATGCGTTCAGACTCCGGTGGATCACAAACTGCGGTGCGAGTACAGGTATCAAAACATCATCACGGTTCTCATTATTTGGCGTCTACAAAAACAGCTTATGCACTTGTAACAGTCGAGTCGTACATTGTCACATGATGAGGGTCCAGTGGTTTGGGGGTAACAGTGTGTAGCCGTGGGGGGCGGGGGGCTCCTCCTCGCTTTGGGGGAGTCTGCAGAGTGGCGCCCTCCTGTGTTCAGCTGAAGTACTTACAGCCGGTGGAGTCGATGAGGCAGGAGTCAGTGCACTGCAGTTGCCCGAACGATCTGGCACAGAGGCACAACGGAAGCAGTGAGGAGTGGTCGAAATGAACAGGAGCTAATGTCTCTTTTTATAACTTTATTTCTGGTCAAACTCAGAGCCAGAGTTGTTTTTTTTTAGAGCTGTGTGGTTTTAATCAGATAAACGATCGGTGGTAACTTTATAGTACATTTTTTTTATTCTTCCCACAGTGAGGAACTTTTAGCGTTGCATCACAGTTTCAAAACAGTAGGAATGAGGAGTACACAGCAAAAGTTTTATATCTCTGACCAGAGTAAGCAATAGTAATACTAGTAGCAGGTACAGTGACTGGTATTTGACAGAAATATCAGACGAATGGAATATGTAATAATGTAGTAATATTAATAACAACAACAGGAAAAGTGACTAGTGAATAGTAAAGTGACTAGTCAATGATCAAATGTATACATTTGTGTAGTGACAGTGTGAGTAATGTGAGGCGAGTGTGTAGTGTGTGTAACGTGTTGTGTTACCCAGGCAGGTAGGACTTGCAGCTCTGGTATCCAAAGTCCTTCCCATCACACTCCTCCATGCCCTCGTGCCGATACCCGTCTCCACAGAAGGCCCATCTGCAGTCTGAGGGAGAGGGGGGTTACTGAGGCTCTGGCACAGTCAGCCCAGCGCCACTGCAGCAGTTTAATGGAATAACAGATGACATGAATGGGTGGGGCTCCTGCATGTGGGCCGCAGTGATCTGGGGGACCATCAGGGGGTCCGGAACAGCCTGGTCCTGCTGCTGAGGTGGCCTAATTATAAAGACTCAGCTCTGAGCGGGGGGCTGACGCTTTCACCTGGTTTGAAGCTGAGTAAGCATAATTTACCCGCTAATGAATGAGCGTGCCAAGCCTCAGGACTCCTGGTCAGACTGAGGAAGTTTAATGTAAAAACTGTAAGGTCAAGGTTAAGGTGTTCTTTGATGACATTGTTAGGAACAAAAAGTATAGTACTTTACTGTCATCTTAAGTGCAACATGAGGCCTGCCATGTGTGAAACTGCAACTGTTCTGTGGGCTACAGTTTATGTTTTTAAGAATCTAAGAACCTATCGATTAATTTATAATTGATTAATTAAAATAACTCTTATAATATGTTCAGCCCTATCAGTAATCTTTATTTAGTTCTTTTCAGAGATAGAGTCACAAAGTCACTTTACAATTGGTGCATCATTATCTCTACATACTGTAAAATGGTTTCTGGTAGATAACAGAGCATGGGGGTGAAGTAAAGCTGCCTGAGGTGTTTTAGAGGTCTCCCATCAATTTACTAACCAGGCACAACCCTGCTTAACTTAGTGCTGTGACGGCTGTGGTCACTCACTCAGACAGGCGTCACTGACGTGGTGGTTGCCGTCGTCACACTCCTCCCCGTGCTGAGCCTGGACCGTCCCGTCTCCACACGACCCCACCCGGTCTGGAACCTTCTCTGTGGACTGGTACGACTGGAAGGGCTGCACCAGATTCAGATTCAGATTCATTTATTTGCCATTTGCAGTAAAACCACATTGGAAAAACTGTGCAAGACTACCCCGGTGTGCACCAGGACACACACTAGAGCTCTTGCCAACATGGGGGACATCATGAGGGTCATCATAGGAGACACCATGAGGGTCATCATGGGGGTCATCATGGGGGTCATCATGGGGGTCATCATGGGGGTCATCATGAGGGTCATCATGGAGGTCAACATGAGGTTCATCATGGGGGTCATCATGAGGGTAATCATGGGGGTCATCATGAGGGTCATCATGGGAGTCATCATGAGGGTAATCATGGGGGTCATCATGGGGGTCATCATGGGGGTCATCATGGGGGTCATCATGAGGGTCATCATGGGGGTCATCATGGGGGTCATCATGGGGGTCATCATGGGGGTCATCATGGGGTTCATCATGGGGGTCATCATGAGGGTAATCATGGGGGTCATCATGAGGGTCATCATGGGAGTCATCATGAGGGTAATATTGGGGGTCATCATGGGGGTCATCATGGGGGTCATCATGGGGGTCATCATGGGGGTCATCATGGGGGTCATCATGGGGGTCATCATGAGGGTCATCATGGGGGAAATGGGGGTATAGACATGTACAGTGGTTTGATGATATTGAAGTCTGACCTGCAGAGGCTTCCATCCATCCTTGTCTCTGAAGTAGAGCGCCCTCTGGTCCTTCCTGACTGCTATGGCATTCTCTCCGTGCAGACGATTCATCTCCTCCTCAGAGCTCACCACAAACACCTGCTGGACACACACGCATACAGACAAACACACAAACACATACACACACACACACACACACACACACACACACACACACACACACAAACACACTTGAGGAATAATTAAAAACTACTGTATTTAATCAGTATTGTAAACTCGCCAAAAATAAAAAAGTAAAATGCCAAAATAAACACTAGAATTGAAACAAATCCATCTTTGAAACTCCGGAATGACTGCAACTGTCACTCACAGCGGGCACTTTGCTGGAGCTGTCGTGGAGCCTGTAGTTGCCAAAGGGAGCGCTGTTCACAGAGGGCTCGCACTGACAATGGCCTGGTGGTCCTGGGACCCCCTTCTCCCCCTTCTCTCCCACCAGGTACAGGCCTGAGGGAGAGGCACATGTTACAGTGATCAGTGTGTAGAGATGATCTGGTCGGACTATCACACTAATGACACAGCACTTTATGTTTGTTGTGGGATGTGTTTTCACTTCACACGGTGAGAGAAGCACAACCACTCACTCAATCGTACACACAGACCTATTGTACATGTTTTTAGTAGTAGGGGAAAGTCCTCACAGAATGGCCCTGTCTGGCCAGGCGATTGAACCTGGGACCTTCATGCTGTGAAGCACGAGTGCTAACTGCTGCATCTCTGTATCAATAGTTCAGATCACAGTACATGACATTCCATCTTGTTCGGTTTCTGTTGGAACAATGCAGATTGGCCAATCACAGAGCAGGATTGCGGTGCAGGTAGGTACCCAGGCACTGGGTTTCATTTCTTGATTACTTTGTTGAAAAAATATTTGTTTGTTGAGATGTCAGAAAGTCCCTCCCCATATAGACAGGGACCAGACAGTTTGGGAGCAACACCTGATGTTAATCCATTGTGTTTCTGTACTCCGTATTTCGTTTTACAAACACACATGATGATAGCATGATGAATGAGAGCATGAACACAGACCTGAGGCAGGAGGGCCTGGGGGGCCGGGGTGCCCATTAGGTCCTGCTGGTCCTGGGGGGCCCATGACTCCTGGAGAACCCAACTGGCCCTTAAAACCCTGCAGAAACCCATCATGGTATAACTATATGAAGTTTACATACAGTCCTGCAGAACTGTAAACAGTAATAGTAAAAGTAAAAGCATAGACAGAAAACTTTTGTAAGAAATATGTCATGACAACAGATTGTAGACTTAACAGCACGAATGTGGAAGTGTCACCTGTTTTCCACGCTTCCCAGGCCGTCCCGTTGGTCCTCTTTTTCCTGGGACCCCTTGCTCTCCCTTGGGTCCCTGTTCTCCCTGTTAAACATGGACATCCGGTTAAATGCATATTTGTCCATTATTATGGATCATTTGCCTGTGTGTGTGTTGAAGAGAACGTACCTTCTGTCCGAGCATCCCAGGCAGACCCCCGGATCCCTGGACACAGAGATGGCCGTAACAACAAGCTGAGGTATTTATTATTCACAGATTTCACAGGTTTTAAAGAGCGACTGGACGGAATACTGCTTCATTATTGCTGCAGTAAAGTGGAAAGATAGGGTTTAATAAATGTCCTGTTGCGGTTGTGAGCAGCGACTTGGACTCTTCTGAAGATTGTATTTTTTTAGGGGACATGCAGACGATGCCAGGTGGTTTGGGCTCTGGTCCACCACACACTTACCCTATCACCCTTTGTTCCCGCGGCTCCTGGATCCCCCTGCGCACCCTGCAACACACTACTGTTTAGACTTCAGATAACATAAGTGTTTAACCATCAGAATAGAGAGAAGATTGTTTTAAATGGTGTAGCATAGGTTCCAATCTGCTGGGTCCTTGTTTTTGTTGTTGTTTTTGTTTGTTTGGGGACCTTTCTACAGTTATGTACTAAGAGGTTTTATGAGTCAATGATGATGATACAATGATATAATGACAGCATAATTCAATTAAAATGTATTTATTTTTTCAAATCAAACATCCCAATGTGTCACAATTAATCTCAAGCTCACACACATACTTTAGTCAATTACAGCCTAGGGGGCCCTCACTGCAGACCCTTGCATTATTCTGGCGTTTCACTCAGATTTTAGATGCAGTTTTAAAGGTTTTCATCCAAGCAGGGGAGGGCCTTGTTATTACTGTGATGGGAGACCTCTGGGAACACCAGGTGCCAGAATGGGGCCAGGAGAAGACACGCCAAACATAAAGATGTTGCAGACAATTCCCAGTGGTCACTTTTGTAAATAAAATGTTATATTGTTGTCACACACTGTGGCGTTATTGGTGTTTAGGGTAAAAAGATACACAATCTTTAAGTTTGTTCATGAAATGAGCTCTTACCTTGTCTCCTTTGTATCCGGGCAGCCCCTGAAACACACACAGCATTAATCACAGTGGCATGCGCCCAGGCCAGACCAATATGTAGCTAACCTTATTCCCAGGGGGTCCTCGGAGTCCAGGCAGCCCCATCAGTCCCGGATCACCCTTCTCCCCCTGTGAGACACACACGAGGACAGAACAGCTCGACATGAAACCGTGATGACATACAGGGAAAACACTAAGAAATGGCATTATCTGTGCTCATTTTGGGTTTCATGTACTCAAATTTAAATAATGTGAGGAAAAATATCATCATGAACAATGATAGATTGAAATCGAACATAGCACATTCTGTCTCATTAGAAAAAGACAAATATTATTTTAACACATTTTTTGCGCATTTGGTGCTTCAGTTTGCGCAGTAACCCGCCTCCTCCCCCATCAGCACCTCAACAGTAAAATAGTCTACATATGATTGGCTCAACACTTTCATATTTATCTCTATTAAAATTCCCTCCTGCAGACCATATATTTATGAATATAATTCTATACATTTGCTGACCATCTCTGAAGTGTCTAATCATGCTTTAGCTAATATAGTCCATGCAGCTGACCTCAATAAACATAATTCTAATACATCTTCTTGTCTCAGTCTTTTCAGATTGAAACACCGATGTCTCTCTACTGAAGTCATGGTGCTTACCTTGGGCCCCTCTGGACCGGGCCAGCCCTGCAGACCCTGCTTCCCTGGCAGTCCCGGAGCTCCTGTTCTCCCCTGAAAACACAAGTGGAGAACGTATGACACGCTCAATCTATTTGCATAAATGTATTGCTACTTCAGCCTGTCCCCAGACTGTATATGGTGTAAATGGACAATGCTAACCTGCTAGCTCTATGAAGCCCAATCAGGAAGCGTTTATGTCAACTCACCTGACTCACCAGCACATTCCTGATTGGCTCTTTAATTGCTCTGTCGTTGCTCTTCCTGAATTTGGCTCCAGATTCCCATTCTAAGAGCTTGTTTGAGTTAGCTCTAATCAGCTTCTTCCACAATAATGCAAACACTATGCTGATCTCAGTACCTCCTCATCAGTGTTGGGAGTAACATTGTTACAAAAGTAAAGTATTTACTGTTATGTGTTGCTTTTTGCTGTAACACAGTCATGTAATGTATTACAAAAAAACCTTGGTAATATTTTACTGGGTACAAAAGTCATGTAATGTGTGTTACTGTACATTGTATTTTAACCCAAAATGAAATTGTGTTTGGTTTTTATACTCTGCCACCATAAGATCAGCAAGAGAAAACAAATGTGTGCCAATAGTATTTGTAGAAGTGTTTCCTTTCTGGTAGAAGAACATCGGACAATAGACTCCCAATATTTATTGAGTTTGTTGGAAACAAACATGTGGAACAAAACAGTTAAGTGCACTTTATGTGCCAAACCAAAAACTCTATCAATCATAAGCTACTTCTAGTTTGTATATATATATTTGGTGAAAGTAACTTCAAAGTAATGCAGTAGTAGTGTATTGTTTTACATAAGATAGCATAACAGAGAGATAACAGATAACAGTAACAAGTCATACATAATGTATTACGTTTATTAAGTAAATTAAGTAATTTGCTCCTATGATCTGACGGACAACTTCAGGATTCTTACTAAACGTTTTCCCCATAGAACAGACTATTAAAACAAACTACTGTGCTCTGCTGACGGGGACCAAACATAAAAAAAATAAAAAATAAAGTTTCTGGTCATTATTCTAGTCAAAATGAGCAGTGCTACCAGTGTCTTTTCTACGCTAACGTTGGCTTTGGTTTAGCCGACAGCTCGACTGCAGCTACGGCCGTTAATCACAGCGAGCCAAAGCACTTACCGAGATTAAAACAACACCAGTGGAGGAGAGCTCTGCATCAGCTCGGCCGACCAATCACGCCAAGACGCAAAGACGAGGCCAAGAGAGCTACTCAGCCAAGAGCACGTCTGACCGAGCAACAGCAGGGATAGAGCCACAGTCTCACTTTGCACTGGGACAGGAGAACTGAATTATGCTAATAGGTTGTGTTCATGTGACATCACAACATTCCAAAGAGCCTATAGTTTAAACTTAGGCTAGAGTCTATAATTCCAGGGATAATCCACATGAAACAGAAGGTTCCACATCTTCCTTGTCAGTAGTTGCCTCTGGCGTGGTATGCAGTGCAAGTTTCTTCAAAAACGTAACACATTATGTATTTCAAAGTAATGTGTTACACTACAATATTACTGTCTCTGAATCGCATCACTTTTAAGTCTATAAAATAACCCTATTTTCAATGTAGTTCTGCTTCTGCTTCAGCTTCAGCCATCTTCTACCAGAAGGAACAGCACTTCTACTAGAAAGGAGAATCTGTGGCTACTATTGACGCAGGTTTTGTATAAAGATAATAACATTTCAGTTATTATTGGAATGCCTTACAGTATCGCGTTACTCCTAACACTGATGGTCTAGTTTTCCATAGAAGTAGGGACAAAATTCAAAAACATGTGCATGATGTTGGCCAGTAGAAAGAGCTTCAAAAATGGCCTCTTTCTCCTAGAGTCGTTTTGGCACCTGCCAGAAATATTGAACACTACTTCTACAACATGAACCGCAACTCTGATGCATTAGATGCATTAGATCTGTAAATAAGTAAATACTGCAATCATGTGCAAGGTGCAATACTGCAATTCAAAATGTCCACTGAATGTCAATTTATCTGCCTATTATCCTGATATGGAAATACTGTGTGTGCGCTTACTGCTGTACGAATAAAGATTCTTGTGTCTTATCTTTCACATTTCAGTGCGAGACAAATTCTGATATTGTCTGATAGATAGACTGATATGTGTGTCAGCTAAAACAACTCTAGTTCCGTTTTGAGGGACTTTGGGTAAGGGACCCAAAAGTCTTTATTTTTACTGACTCATATTGTATCAGTCAGACATATATCGAATTGAATCAAATTAAAATAAAAGTGTACTATACATACAGTATACTCGTATTGAGGTATGTATTGTATCGAAGGCTCTGAAAGATGAGGATATGGGGAAGTATTTCTGTATCTCAAACTACTCTGGCAACGGATGAAGCAGATGGAAAATGGATGGATGTTTTTGGCCTTTTTATTAGGCCCGAGCCCCGAACAGGGCCTATTGTTTTTGCTCGAGAGATGTCAAATTCTGCACTTTGAGCCTTAATTTCACCCCCTGAACATGCATGAAAAGTTGTAAAATTTTGCCCAAACATCAGACCTGGTGAAAAATTTGATATTTGTGTGTTTATTTTTATGGGACTCAAAAAATGCCAGAACAGCGCCACCTACAACAGCCAATGGGAGTTTCAGAGGTCAAGTTTGTCGTAGAGCCATGAAATTCGGTACACATGTTCCTCAAGTCAAGATACTGCAAAATGGATAAATGATCCGCAATCATTTTCATCCATGTCGGTTGGAAAGCGACTCCTGCTCGGCCGTTTTACAGATTCGTCTCAAAATCGCTCCACATGATCTCAACACATGTACCTTGAAAATAACCAAAGGGATTTTTGATCAGTGAAACGTTGTTTGAGCAGCGGAGCTGCAAAATGTGAGTGTTTTTTGACCGTTTTTCACAACATTAATTTTGCTCCCGTTTGCACAAACAAAGTCTGATTTGCACAAAACTTGAATCCAATATTCAACTCCAGGGTTTAGGTCAGGTGAAAGTGAAATATTTGAAATTGGCCCAATAGCGCCCCCTACAGATTGAGGCAAAGTTTTACATGGGGTGCCAAACAGCTCTAATCATCATATTCATTACAATTTCACTAACGTTCTTCTATGGCAACAGCAACAAATCATCACACGGCGGCCCCAGCTCCTTTGCGCGGTGCTGCGTGGTACGGTGTGGTGCGGCGTAGTGCGGGGCGTTGCGGCTTGGTGCGGAGTGGCGTGGTGCGGGGCGGCTTGGTGTGGGGCGGCTTGGTGTGGGGCGGCTTGGTGCGGGGCGGCTTGATAAGGGGCGGCTTAATGCGGGACGGCTTTGTGCTTGGCGGCTTTGTGGTGCGCGCGGTGCGGCGAGGGCCGTTTGACGCCGCTTGCGGCTTTAATTTGATTTGTTTGTGCTGCTGCAACCACAAGATTTGGCCAAACATTTTTCACCAAACCATTTAATCAAGGAATGTTATGTATTTTCATGAATCTTCTGGAAACATAAGCTGTGTGTGTCAGATGCAGCAGAACCTCCCTCTCTCTCGTTTGGCCAATCACAAATCACACGAGTGTCACAGGGACAGACAGGCCGGGCGCCATTACCTCAAGGGCGTCACAGATAGAAGCGCTCACCTTTGTCCCGGGACGTCCGATCTCCCCCTGCCGGAGAAGAAATGACCTATTAGCATGCTAGCAAGGACGCGGCGAGATAGATCTACTTAGACTATAGATCACAGAAGTGCTTAAGCCTCACACACACGTACAGTACCTTTTCACCTTTGGCTCCTCGGATTCCTGGTAATCCCATGTCTCCCTGAAACATCATATTGGTATTATGAAAGGCAAATAGATAAAATGTTGCAAACATAAATATGATTCCAATCATGTGTAGTTTGCTTCTGTAATGGGTTAATAAATATATAATAAATTGATGCAGTAGCGCCTAAGGACAGTGGTGATGATCCAGGGCACTCAACAACACATCAACATTTATGAAAATTGGTCATCTTCCCCTTATTATAATGATAATAATAGATAGGTTTTATGCAGCGCTTTTCAGAACACTGAAAGACGCTTTACATGGCATTGTTCTTTCACTCCATACACTGTCGTGATAAACTACCACTGTAGCCACAGCTGCCCTGGGGAACACTGACAGAAGTGAGGCAACCACCACCAACCATTCACAGACACCAAACTCACTCTAGGCAATGTGGGTGAAGTGTCTTGCCTAAGGACACAACAACAGTTTAGCACTTTACAGCCGCAGCTGCCCCACTGTGGCACCTGGTGTTTCCAGAGGTCTCCCATCACAGGACTAACCAGGCCCTGCCTTGCATAGCTTCAGAGGCCTGAGATCTGGCTTTCACATGTAGGTATGGACCAAAGGCTACATGTTTATTTAACATTCCATTTTCAGTGTTTGAACTGTTTGATTCTTGATATCAGTCTGATTTCCTCAGCCTGAAAGAGCAGAGGAAGACATACCTCAGGTCCTGTAGCACCTGGGGGTCCTGGGGGGCCCTGAGCACAGCCTGGACTTGAAACTCTGGGTCTGGCCACCGCTTCCTCTGCCTCTGATTCTGCTTCAGAGTGGAACGTGATGGCGAGCTCCAAAAGACTGCCACCCTCCTGCACACAGTCAACCCACAATTACCATCGTCTTGTAGCTTTCTCCTGCTTTTCAGAGGACACAGTTTTGGGGTTGTCGGTAAAATGTACAAGACCCATGAGTGATTGTTGAAAGGTCAAAGAGGTTTACACCCAGCTGAGAATTACTATTGCAGCAACACATCATCAGTAGGATAAAACTAACCCAGGTCCTTTTTAGTGGGTGAATCCAAGACTTAATGATTTCTGCTTCACAATGATAGAAAGAGCCAACATCGAAGGATCAAAAAGCGGTATCGTTATGAGCCCTTGGCCGAGTGCTTTGTAAACACATTCACTGTTCGTAACTTAAAGAATAATAAAGAGAAAATAGCTATATTGTTTGGATGACGATGACTTTTGCAGCCGTGTAGATGTAGATATATGGCTGTAGCTGGTATGTGTGAAGCTCACCGGGCGGCCCCTGTTCCAGAGCTGAGGAGGGGGCGGGAACAGTGGAGGAGGGGGCGGGGCAAACAGACAGCAGGGCTCGAACCTCAGAGGACTGTTCAGCATACGCACAGCTGGAACATACAGAACATAGACCAGTTAAGGGGTGGACCCATGTCATTCGTGTTTGCCTAAACTCTGAACATTGTATAAATAAAGATTACTCACTTACTTAATGCGAAAGAAGCAGATTAGAGCTAGCTTAAACAGGAGATTTGAGCAAGAATATGGAGCTACAAATATGCAAAATTTGTAGGTAGAATTTATTTAATTATTTATTGTTTGTTTGGTTGGGACAGTACATGTTAATGAACACATCACTCCGGATTGTAGCCATGGGCTAATTTGCATCCGTTGTCCCACATTTGAACTCACAAACACACACTCATTCACCCTGAACTATTGTACATATTTTTAGTAGGGGAAACCGGGGAGAAAATGCAAACTGCACTCAGAAAGGCCCTGATCCAACCAGGATTTTAACCCAGAACCTTCTTCCTGAGAAGCGAGAGTGCTACCCACGCAGCCACTGTGCCGCCCTTAGTAGCGACCAAGTCACCAATCAAGTAAAAATTTTAAAGACGTTTTCTGTTCTGGCCATGTGTGTTGGGAGGGGAGTTTAGCTACATACACTAGGTAGGTACATACATTAGTTAATGCATTAAACTAAAAAGCCGTACTTATTCTGTAATAACATTTGAACTGTTGTATAATGTCACAGGGTTAAAGTTAATTCTACCAAACATTGACCTTGGATTTGTCATTTCCCATTAGGAAAATGGCAGTAGCGCATGGGCCACCATAGGCACCGAAAGATTAGGGGAACTCTTTCTCTGGTCCTTACGGTTCTGCGCAGTGGACGAGATCCCATGATGCTTTGCGCCAAATATTCGTGTGTGGCTCTCACGCACGTGCACAGAGGGGAACGGCTGCATTCTGACCAACCAGCCTCTGCTGATTAGAGCAGAGCTAAAGCGGGGGGGAAACAAGCAGTTTGTTGCACTAAAATTATGGATTTAACAAGAAAAAAAGATCAGGATGACAAGGGACGCCAAAATCCACACAAAATCCGATCTTTATGAAAGCTGTAGGTTCTCTGTCAGCTGAGGTCGAGCTGTTTTAGTTTACATTGAGTTCTAGTTCTTTTTTCTGGGTATCCCACTTGAATTTAGTCTGCAGTACCACGAGTGCCCCCCCACAGTGCCCATGGGTGGGACAGCTGTAAGCTAGTACTACCCTTTCCAGATATTATTATAGATCCATGGCCTGAATACACATATGTCAAGTCTGCTCCAGTCGCTCGTTTTGGAGCTGAGCTGAAGGAGCAGCGTCTCCCTGGATACAGCGGCGGAGGCAGAGCTTATGTAAGAGCTGTCTGCTTCGCACCTGATCAGAATGCTGATGGGACAGCAGCAGGGCCTGCTCTTACCGGAGTGAGCCGACATCAGGCCATCCCAGTACGACGGCTTGGAGGCCCAGGCTGGAGCCAAGAGGAGCAGGGAGGAGCAGAGCTGGAGGAGCGCCATGCTGGGGCTGTCTGACGGATGCACTGCACCTGTTCACACAAGAGGAGAGAGAGTTTTAGAGGGCGTAGAGAAGGACCACTGCAAAGACCACTTTTACCCCAAATTGAATCAAGGTCCCTCAAAACGGAACTAGAGTTGTTTTAGCTGACACACATATCAGTCTATCTATCAGACAATATCAGAATTTGTCTCGCACCAAAATGTGAAAGATAAGACACAAGAATCTTTATTCGTACAGCAGTAAGAGCATACACAGTATTTCCATATCATGATAATAGGCAGATAAAGTGACATTCAGTGGACATTTTGAATTGCAGTATTGCACCTTGCACATGATTGCAGCATTTACTTATTTACAGATGAATGACATGTACAGGCTCAGCAGTTGTCATTGTACAGTCTGACAGCAGCAGGAAGGAAAGACCTGCAGAACCTCTCCTTCACACAGGAAGGGTGGATCAGTCTGTCACTGAAGCTACTCTCCAGAGAGGACAGAGTGTCGAGCAGGGGGTGAAGGACAACTGCAAACTCACTTAAAAGCCACACTGATTTATGGTTGAGAATCAAGCTAATGTGTGAATTGTATAATATATGTCTGAAGCTGTAAAAAGGTGATACTATCCAGACTATAAAAACATTGACAGAATAGCAACTCTGCAAGAATAACACATCACTGTAGTGTTGTATGATTAGCCTTTTGTGTGTCTTTGTTGAATTTTAAGGGGATAAGGGGAAGCCTGTGAGCAAGAGGACTCTATCCCAATTCCAAAGCAAGAGCCTGTTTTGCTGCAGGAGGAACTGGTGCACTTCATAGAAAAGACAGCATCATGATAAAAGGACCAGTTAGTTGGAAGTATTGAAGCTCAAATGGAAATGGCTCTTTTGAACGGACAATGACTCCAACCCGACTCAGTTTAATTAAAAACTAATGTCATGTATTTATACTTCTCACAGTGTATGGGCCGACAGAATTATCCACCCTCTACTTTCTGCTGGTTTAAGATAAGATAAGATAAACTTTATCGATCTCACAAGAGAGAAATTTACATGTCACATTTGGCATGGATAGAATCAAATAGGTTGTGCAAAAAGACAGTAAATATGCAAACATGTTAAAAAGGTTAAAAAAAAGAATAGTGTCTCTTTTGTGCAAGATTATGTGACTAAAAGCGACTATAGCAGTGCAAGTTGTTTCAGTCCTAGTGCAGGTCCTTTAAGTGACTTACTGTACACTTAAATTACTCCTACCAACGTGTTTACTATCTATCTATACAGCAGGGACACATAGTGCAACTTTTGTCTGATTTCAACTTCAGATGAAAAGATAATAGTCAATGAATATTTTCAGTGTATAAACTCACACTGTGTATAGCTCAAAAATACAGTTAAAGTTGGGGTATTGAACTTTTCCCCTTTAAAACCAAAGTTCTCTAAACTCGTGTGTTTTTTTCCAGCCAGAAAGAGTCTGGTAAGTACTTTTACCTGAACAAACCAGTCCACAGCACGCAAAGTTAGCTACATACACCAGCTTTAAAATGGGAAAATGGTTATGAAAGTCCAAGCACTAATCTTCAGCAATTGATTTCCCCAGTAACGTCACACAGTGCATTAAAAAGAGAGATGATACAATCTTTCAGTTGTATGCATAGCTAAACTGTTTTTAACCTGGATTTAAAGATGGTCTATATAGAAGCCTGTCTCACATTTTCAAGAAGATGTGAGACAGCTGCAAAAATCTGAAATGCTGCCTCCCCATCTTTAATCCTGACTCTGGGCAGCAGCATGAGGCCAGTACCTACAGTATGCTCCTCAGAGTCCAGTAAATGTGTTATCAATTATTATGCCAACATTGTGCAGAGACCAAAAATAGAAGACGAAAATCCATGTGAAATCCACGACTGAATAGATATAAGCTATTGCATGATGGGACTGAATACATAAAAATATAAAACCTGCATTATTCACACTTTTATCATCGTCTATCCCCGTTCCCCATTACAAGGATGTACAGCTTTTTAATTTGAGGTATAGCTCCGAAGCCCGGCTGTCTTACCTTGTGTCTGGGGAGGATGTGTCTGTGCGTGTGTTTCCAGGTGGGCGGGTCCCTGAGGAGATCCGCGGCTCTGCTCTGTCCTGACGCCGCAGCGAGAGTGAGTCTGAGCGGACACCGCAGTCACTGAGCAGCGGGCAGGGCGCCACCAGACCACAGCGTCCAGAGGGAAGAGGGGAGAGGGGGGTGAGAGGAGAGCGAGAGAGGGGGGAGAGAGAGAGAGAGGGGGGGGGGGGGGGGGGGGGGCTAAATGCATCTGTACTTTTTTTTTTTTTTTACATCCTTCAAATGATACCTTCTTAATTTACTCCGTCCTGACAACCTATTTCCTTCTTCTGTCCGATTTGGAATTACAAAGTCAGCAAAAGGACTTCATTATTATCTGCCTAAACGTGGAGATATCCTGTCTCGTACAAATTCGTTTTAGTGGACAAGCAATAATGAAGGACGTGTTTCATTCATTTGGAGGCGCAGACTCTGCAGCTGATGCAGAAGCAACAATAGAAGGAAAGGTTGCGCCGCCTGCTGGAGTTATCGGTGCACTGCACAGTGTCGGGAAAAAATCATCTATGACTTTCTTTCTTCCTCTGAGCCGAAGGGAAGAGAGAGGAGAGCAGAGACGCAAGACCACCCTCCACTAACACATCCTCCCGAGGTGTTCCCAGGCCAGCTGAGAGACACAGTCCCTCCAATGTGTCCTGGGTCGCTTTGTGTTTCCCTGTGTAGGAAAAGCGCTCTATAATTGATTGCTTCATTCAATTCCAATGGGACATGTCCAGGGGGAGGTGTCCAGGATGCATCCCAAACAGAGGTCTGAGCCACCTCAGCTTGTTCTCACGACGTGGAGGAGCAGCGGCTCTACTCTGAGCTCCTCCTGGGCGACTGAGCTAACCTGACTCATATATATCTAATTTAATGAAATTAATGAGTTTTCTTTGTTTCCATAATATTTACTGTTTTTTTTTAAGAAAGAACAAGAATATTATCAGTTATTTCATGCATTTGTCAAAAGATATCTCTCTGAAACAGAAACAATAGAAACAGCCCTCAAACACTGTGTAAGAAACGTACAAGTAAAACTCAAATTGTCAGTTTCAGTTATGTTTAACACACAACGTTGGGGCACTGGCCCAACAAGACCAACCAGCACAATCAGCAGGGCTTTTAGCTCATATATTGATATTCAAAAAATACAGTACAATAAATACATTCAATTCAGAATGGTAAAGTTAAAGGTGCTCAGTGTGTAGTTTGTACCTCTAGAAAAATACAATACAAGGAACACTGCAGGGGATCAGTAACATTGAATTGAGCAGATCTTAAAGCTGTGGAACCAAATTTTTAAACCACAAGATTTTACTTTGTAATAAAATCTTGTGGTTTTATTCATCACAGTCAGTACCTCGCGTTAAACATAGTTTGGTTCTAATCAGATTATAACAAAATCCAAGTAACTGGTTTCTGTTTCTAAAATAGTTCTATCAAAAAAAAAAAATCCTGAATGTGTGGTGACTCCTGACTCAGCCCCTCAGATCTAAGCCAAAAGAGTCAAATAGTGACTCCTAGGGCTCTTTAAACTAAAGCCTGTTTGGGACAAACATACTGCATTATATAAATAGCTTGCAATCCACATTCACAATCGCAATATCTTTCAAAAAGTGAAAATAGTCATTAGTCCAAAAGATCATCTCGAGAACCAGATCGACCAAAATGCACTGGATTTTAGGAAATGTCAAAATGTCCTGGACCCACCGCTGTCCTTAAACCTCCTTCTTCAATACCAAATGAGGTCCTGTGTAAAGCCTGGGTGTGTTTGCATCAGGAGGTGGAGTCCTTTAGGTAGGCGATGAGGTCCTCACGCTCGCTTTTCTTCCGGATGCCGCTGAAGATCATCTTGGTGCCGGGGATGTACTTTTTGGGGTTGGCCAGGTAGATGCGCAGGGTCTCCTCGCTCCACGTGATTCCTGATGGGAGAGAGAGAGACAGTGAGTCGTCTTTGTGGCTTGACTCTGTCTGAAACTGAGCCATCGAGATGTGATTATGGGGCGTGTTTCAAACTAAGAAAAACAAACGTCTCTTCGCTCTATTGAATAGTCCAACAACCAACCAGAGCAATGTGATAAACACAGTGCATTCCCACACTCTTCATTTCAGTTTAATTAACCTTTGATTAAACGATCTAAACATATCAGCTGATATCGAGCCGATTGTGTGCAGTGGTCCTCGCTATACCGCAGTTTTCCTTTTGCGGCCTGATTTTGCTTTATACAGCATGATTCTCATGGGCCACGTGTCTACTCCAACATCATATAACCAGTAGTATTACATGATCATTGCCTTTATTTACATGACACAGTCCCGAAAAAACAAAAAACAAAAACAAATTCAACTTCCCCTCCATCCCTCTTGGGGCAGCATAGGTATAGGGCAGGCCGATAGCGTTGTTCACCCTTGATACTTTTTTCACCATCTTCTTTTCCCTTAAAGAAGCTATACCCGATTTTTTGTCTAATGAGTTCATTAAAATGATTATTACTACATACAAATTGTATTATAATCCGTAATTTAATTGATAACTTTAGCTCATTGATTCAGCTGTTTATGAACTCAGGCCGTATATAAGTGCTGAGTAGAGACTAGCAGGCCGATCATCCTGATCCACTCACAGAATGAGCCGGCGTCCCCTAGCCTCTACAGCGCTCCAAAAAACAGTAGCATGTTAGCAGAATTGGCTATAACTCCTCTGGCTGTAACCGCAGACACAACAAAACAGCCCAAATGACACAACAGTGAGGAAGAGAAGAGGGAACTTAAGCGAGAATAATGATCAAAGAAGATACCAAGCCCGGGTAACCATAGCTAGCTTACATTGTATCGTCTGGAGCACATGTGTCAAAGTCAAGGCCCGTGAATTTTACATGGCCCGTTGCCTGCCATTGACGCACGTCAATTACGTCAATTGCTATTTTCATGTTCCCAGATGTCTATTATATCTAACAATGTTTGGGGATTTGGGGATATTGAATCGAGCCAGCAGGTGGCACCACCGCTCTCTGAATGGTTTGAAAACAGCTAGATGCACTTGTTGTGACTCTTTTTTTCTCAGCTTTTTGGTGATTTCAGTAAAACTTCCCTCTACTCAACTGGGGATTGCAAGCTAGAAACAAAATTATTTTTGCTGATGAAAGTAGACAGTCTATTCTTTCAGAATCTGGTTTCGGATTTCAGATAGTCATTGTACACAATATTCTGTGGGTCTTGAAAAATCTATAAAAATCATCAGAAACTGCTGGCAATATGGGAGTACCTGTTCTGAAATAGGCTGGCAGGCAATGAGTTAATAAACATTGAACCAATCCGGCCCTCGGCTCGCAGCAAATTTGTTTTTTTGGCCCTCTGATGTATTTGACTGACATGCCTGGTCTGGAGAGACTTGTCTGTGGGAGAGACCTGTGGGAGCGGGACCGCCTCGGACTATCTATGCTCGGACTACATTCGGACGCGAAACTAGCGGTAATCTTTCAGTTGTATATTTTGTTAGAGGTGTGTTGCTTTTGTACCATTTCATCAGTGATTGTTGTACAGCTTAAGTTGCGCTAATGCTAATGATAGCATCAGATCGCAAATGCAACTAGGGGGCTCCGCTTAGTGGAAATGAGAAGCCTCTAAGCGAGTTGGGAGGCGGTGCTAAACAAGCAAACCTTGCAGAAACGGGTATAGCTCCTTTAAGATTTAGTGTAACAAGGCATCTTATTTGAACTCACTCCTCTTACTCACCCTTGTCAATGTTGGCCTGGGTGTAGTTGAAGCCTTCAGCCTGTCCTGTCTGCCTCCCGAACAGCCCCCACAGGTTGGGCCCCACCTTGTGCCGGCCCCCCTCCTCCACCGTGTGGCACTGCGCACACTTCTTCACAAACGTGGCCTTGCCTTTCTTGATGTCCCCCATGGTATGGCCTTCTGCTGGTTCCTACAGTGTCAAAAAGCACAGTCGGGGCTCCTACACATTAGAATCAGCTCCCCATCCACATCAAGGAAGCAGACACAGTCTCTACATTCAAGGCCAGGCTTAAAACAGTCTTAATACAACTAAAACACAGATTGTAAGTCAAGCTAAATATAAAGATACTTTTCTGGAGAAGTTTGATAACTTGAGCACTATCCTCTCCACTATCCTTTCCTACTTCATCCGTCATCATTAAGACTTCAGATGTGGTCTGTTCATTGCTATTCACCCGCTTCCCCATGTCTGTTTCATGTGTGATGATGGGACCCCTGAATCCATCTATGGACATCCGTTGTTGCCTTGCCAACAAGGGGTATCCCTGATGGTGGTGTGTGTGTTTGTGTGTGTGTGTATGTCACAGGGTAGACGCACAGCGCACTTTGTTTTTATGCATGCTTTTATTTTGAAATGTGTTTTGTGTGCCGCACTGTGTGTTTTTACTTCCTGTTTTTTATCCTCACACCTGTGGCAGCTTCCACTGATTTTAACGAATGGACATAAGACACTGGGGGCTGGAGCCAATGAGAAAAGGGTTTTTAAACAGACTATGGGGGAGGAAGAAGGAGGAGGACACCGGACTGGGCCAAAGGGAAGGACACCGGACTGGGCCAAAGGAGAGGCACCGCCAGCCAGAGACCACGGGGGACTGAGGCCAGCGGGGAGAGCGGCACCGGTGATGGGCGCGCATTGAAAGCGCAGAGAGGCGCGTGTGCACCGGGCTAGGCCCAACATCACGAATGGAATGTGCCCGCTCTCCCCTGCGTGTGCCCAGTGGCAACCTGTGGGCGGCAAGTGGCTGGCGAGACTGCGGCCCCGTCCCGGGCAGAAAGAACACAGGTTGACGACAGAGCGTCTTGGGCAACCGAGGAGAGGAGGCAACGGAGAACGGCAGCAGCAGTCAGCAGTACCTGCACAGGACCCACGGAAAGCCAGAGCGCGACGCGGACTACACGCAGCGGGCAGAGTCTCTCTGCCCGCTGCGTGTAAGTAACATTGTAGTGCTCTGCCCGGGCATACGGCTGCTGCTGGCCAATAGAAATCTGTTTTTAAGGCGTTTTACTGTGGGAGACCCGTTTTTGTTTCAGGGAGGGGCCTGGCCAGCCATTCCCTCGTGTGGAGCCAGAGCACAACGTGACATCACCGCAGCGGGCAGAGTTTCTCTGCCCGTGCACGTAAGTGACCTTTAGTGCTCTGGCCGGGATTCATCCCACTTTTAACCTACAGATTTCTATTTTTAAAAAGAACGTTTTACTGCCTCCTGCTCCTCTGGTTTTAGGTCTGCGGAGTTGCCCCTGCCCTTGCTGGACTTTTAACTGGACTTTGCTTTTATATTTTTAGTATTTTATTCTGTAATTTTATTTGTAATAAATTGTTTTATCCCTTTTAAAACTCTGTTTTTTACACTGCTCACCTTGTTTTTAAGAACCTTCCTTTATTGAGTCCTAGTCTCATTTTTAAAACTAGGTGGCGTTGCTTTTCCTTTTATATGCTACTCGGCCACATGTAGATGAAATATGACAGAAGACCCTCCTCCTTTATTCTAACATGACATTTTTCTCTGGATTAGAGGCCCCCAAAAAACAAATTCAAACAAGATCCAGGCCAGGTCTTAACAGTAAACAAGTAAATACATGTTTACTGCTCTCCAGATCTGTGCCCGAGCTGAGCCCCAGGTCCCAGATGAATGGGCTCCGCTTACACAACAGGAAATGGGCTTCCTAAACTTTCTGCCATCTAAAAACATGTATCAAAAGTATCAGTGACTTTGAGTAACTGTTTTACTGAAAGTCACTATCTCTATTCTATGGTGACACTATCATAAAACAGCTTAACAACAAATTCTACTTCATTAAACAAGCCGGAGCATGTGTGTGTGTTTTCTTCTTTCTTTATTTTACTACAGACGACAAGAAACTACGGAAAAGAAACACACATTCTTGATTCCACAACATTGTTGAACTTGTAAACACATGGAGCTTTCGCGAAAGTTCACTGTGGTAGACCCGGCTGCTGCTTGCCCAGATCTACAGGCTGCTCTTCCTCGGCTCATCAGACCAGCAACGCCCACATCCAGCCAACCAATAACCACCAGGACAGCAAGTTAAAAGCCGGAGACTCCCACTTCCCGGCCTTCTGAAGTCTGCAAACTTCTGAAGCCTGCAAGGTGCATGTCGCTAACGCACCTGTTCGCAAATGCATGCGTTGTTCTGGAGGGGTCGCTTCTGATCACGTGTTGCTCGTGCGCGTGGCCCGGCTGTCCTCAGTCTGGCTGCTCGTGGTCTGCTCCTCCTCCGCGTCCCTGCACCTGCTGTGGTTCGCGTGTCTCCACTGCTCTCTTCCTCTGTGGGCTGATCCGCGGGGCCCCTCTGCAGGTTCTGTGCTGCTCGTTCCTCGTGGTCTGCTGCCGTGCATGTCCCTGCCTCCGATTGGCGGTGCCGCGTTGTCCCGTTGCTTTTCCCACGTCTCCTGGCATGTGAGTACAGTGAGTGTGCCGACCGCGGACGGATTAATCCCAGAGTCTGGGCTGCAGGCGGCTGGTTTTTGCCCCGCGCACTTGACTGCAGGCGTCAGTTTTCGCCCCGTGCTTGGTCTGCAGGCTCCGTTTTCACACGTGTTTGAGCTAACTGAGGGGCAATGCATATTAAATGGCATCAATCTCTATTGTCTGAGGGATATAAGAGGAGCAATGTGCATTAATTCGGATTCATGTTCTGCCACTTGCAGTAAAACCACGTTGGAAAAATGTGCAAAGACTAACCCATCGTGCTCCGGACGGCACACACCAGAACTCTTGCCACGGCGCCATCTTTACAGCATTAATCTCATTACTCGCAGGTCACTATTGTTAAATGAAATGTATTTAAATTCGTCTATCTGCAGGAGGAAGGAGGGGCCATGCATTTAAATAGCTAGGTCACTAGTATTAAATTAGGTAACTAAACTGCAGTTGTTGTATTTTGAAAGTGCAGCAGAAAGAAAAAGGGCCCAATGTGAATCTGCAATGGGTTTGAAGTGGAGTTGGAGCTAATGAACGCATGGAAAAGTGATCGTTCATGCGTATCTGCCATAACCAAAGCGGCAAGATGGCTCCAGGGGACATCTGTTATTCGCATGGGATGTTTCGGATTCGGGTTGATTTATTTCCTCAGGCTCTTAAACAACCATGGGCATGGTTCTCTGACCGCCGCTGCTGCGGTCCCTGCTGCCGTTCCTACTGATGCCTGATCCCGCTGCTGCCTATTCCTGCTGCTGCTCCTGCTGCTGCCTGCTCCTGCTGCCGCTCCTGCTGCTGCCTGTTCCTGCTGCCGCTCCTGCTGCTGCCTGTCCCTGCTGCCTGCTCCTGCTGCTCCTACTACTACATGTGCCGCTGCTGCTGTTCCTGCCGCTGCCGCTCCGCGGGCTCCCGGGCGGCACCTGTCTCTACGGCTCGGCTCTTTCAGACACGTATGTAACCTGGCTCACGGAGACAAGCGGCGCACGCTGGCGTGACACGTCTGTTTGTTCGTATGAATCGCATTGTGGTGCTACTGCTCCTGCTAATGCTGCTTCTGCTGCTTCATACTGCTACTGCTGCCGCTAATGCTGCTATTGCTGCCGCTGCTGCTTCATACTGCTACTGCTGCCGTGCTGCTGCTGCTTCTTTACTTTGACACCTCTCTTCACTTCGCATCTCTTTTACTGAAACACTAAACAGCTTCAACAATATTCTACTGCTCTGGTTTTGATACAGGATTATTGCTGTTATTATCTACGGATGCTGCAGCTGCTGCTGCTGCTACTGCTGCTTCATACTGCTACTGCTACTGCTGCTGCTTCATACGGCTACTGCTGCTACTACTGCTGCTGCTGCTTTTACTTTGCCATCTCTCTTCACTTGCATCTCTTTTACTGAAACACTGAACAGCTACAACAACATTCTACTGCTGTGGCTTTTATACAGAATTATTACTGTTATTTTCTAAGGACGCTGCTGCTGCTACTGCTGCTGCCGCGGCTTGATACAGGACTATTGCTGTTATTATCTGAGGTTACTGCTGCTGCCGCTGCTGCTACTGCTACTGCTGCAACCCACTCTCTCAGAAGCTTATCCTGCTTCTAATGGATGCAGCCCGGCTGAGTATGCCGCGCTGCGCTGGACTCGCACCTATGCTCCCAGGGTCGCTTCGGCGGTCGTGCTTCATCTCTCTACCTAATCTTCTGATTCTATCAGATGCAGCCGGCCGAGTAGCTGCGCTGAGCCGTCAATCGGACTCCTAATCAAAGGCATCCATACCGTGTTCTTCACTCTTCTGATCGCAGGCTCCCCATCATGCTGCCCATCCTGCAGCAGCTCTGAGCGGCACTGAACTCCGGCTCATCTTCCAAGTACATGTCTGCCCTCCTCGCAGCATCTTCCTGCTCTCCTTCTATGGCTTCTCTGCATAAGCGTCTCACCATTGCTCACTCAACCTTCATGCGGTCCGAGACACGGCTTTCCCGACCATCCTACTATCCTGATTATCTACTCTCCAACCCAAGATTCTGAGCGTAAGGGCGCCTGCAACATCAATGGCCCTCTCCGATATGTCTCTGCCCCTACAGGTCTCCGCTTCTACACGGACGCTGCCCCTTCCGTGGGTTTTGGGGGATTCTTCCAGGACCATTGGTTTGCCGAGCGTGGCCGCTACTTTCCACCGGAGCATCTCCTCTGCCCTACACGAGATATTCCCAGTGGTCGTGGCCTCGCTCAAAGATTCCCCTGCTTCAGCGTCTGGCTGAATACGAGCATGCGCTCATATTCTCAGCTCGCTTAAAGATTGCCCTGCTGCAGCGTCTGGCTGAACATGCGCATGCTCATATTCTCAGCTCGCCCTGCCTAAACAAACACGGGCCCCAGCGGACGCAGCCTGGCTGAGCGACCGTGCGAGAAGCCTCTCACTCATGCTCTCAGGCCCGCGCAGTACGTCCTGCTATCCCAATCGCAGGCCCGCTTTTTGGGGATTATGCACGCGAGCAAGCGCCGTGCTCAACAGCATCCCTCCCGGGCCTAGGGCGCCAAACATGCTCAATCAATAAACATGCTTAAATCTAATAAGTCTAACGGCATTTTCCTCATGGGTCTCTCCAAGGTGAAATGGCTACATAACACATCTGAGTGCTTCTATTCATTATTCTGACACAAAGTACATGTTTAAAGTTCACTTCTACCCACAACATGCCTAGTTTAACTGCTGCCCACCCCTCCTGTGTCTCAGACTTGTTTTGACCCATCCTCCTCACAGGCATTCCTCACCTGAAGACAGCCGCAGGTACAGATCTCCCACTCCTCACGATCTGCTCGACTCCACGACTGAGCAGCGTCTGCGAATAGTTCCGTGTGTGAGAGACAAAGGGAAAAGGTTTTGTAATGTGGAGAGTGGAGTGTTACCCAAGAGCCACACCTGCGTATGTCACTAATATGTCAGAGCTAATTCCACAGACAGGTAGTCAACAGAGACCTGTCCGTATCCAGGCAACCAGGGCGTGTCCAGAAGTTAAATAAGGACGTTATATGTAAAGCAATCTTTTTTTAAAAATCTTTATACAGTTTTTTGAGAACATTGTTCCCTCATCGCGAACAGACCTGGAGTTGTGTTGGCGAGTTTTCACGCCACTTGCAGTTAAAGCTGGGGTACCTAACTTTCATTGGTGTAACTTGCTCCTGTCTCTAAAACAGTTGGGTCGTAAGGCTCTTAGAGGGTCTTAAAAGGACCAGGTTATAAAGCAGTACTAGCTTATTTATACTTTAGTCTTTTTTTAACCTTCTTCTAAGTCTTAAAAGTAAAGAGACATAATTAACTTTATACATTAGCTTTATTCTATCACCAGTTTTCATGTAGACTAGGCCTCTGTCACATATTTAGATCCGTTTTTCAGACAGAAAAGTGATAAACAGAGGACCGGATTCAGCCAATCAGCTCACAGCCCAAAGAGTTATAAAGTGCTCTTTCTTAGATGTATGTAACAGATATTATGTTTAAATATTGGCCTATGAAGAAGATTATGATTATATAGTGATGTTTTGGACAAAAATGCTTCATGTGTCATTGCGCTTCATAAAACCAATGGAAAAAAACTAAAATGGATGATTTGTTTTGACATTTTTCTTTTATAAGACATTTTGTTGGAATAGAACAGCATGGATTATTTGTGGAAAAGTGAGACGCCCCAGTTTTCAGGACAATGGAGAGATTTTATGACCGCTTTTACATAGTTTCTTTGTTATATAAGTATAATGAAAGTAATTGCAAGTGATCATCAAGTACAGAATAGTACCTGCTTCAACATGTACAGTATATAGTAATGCATTCTGTACATTGTGCAATCAGAGCGCTGCATTCGGAATACCTGGAACACTTTCACATCCTTTTTCCTCAAATGTTATCGCCAATCTTTTGAAGACTTAAAACAGAGATATTTTTCTGAACAAGAGATAAGTGAGTGTTGCATTAGTCTGACTTTGATAACTAATTTGAATACAACCAAATACACAACATACAGTTATAATCAGTTTTAGTTTCTTTGACTTGAAAGTTTACAATTTCACAAGAACCGGAGGCTTTTTGTTGCCATCAGAGAGAAAACAAATCTCATACAAAACTACCACACAGACTCGGAGCTGTCATCAGAACTGGGGGATGGAGACTTATGATCAGGGTCAGAGGAAGAGTTTTTGACCTCATTAGATTCAGATTCAGTTTATATGACATTTGCAATAAAACCACATTGGATTACATGTGCAAAAGAACCCAGTGTGCACCAGAGAATTTCTACCATGGACATTATCATTTTAAAATGGGAAAAGAAGATTATTTGACTATAAATGGCTTCCCACAGCCACAAAAAAAGGAAAAGTGTCTGCGCCATCGTCCTTGATATCCAACATGTGGACAAAAGACAATCTGGGGATGCAAACTTTCAAACTGCTGTTTTGGGTATTTTATTGTGAGTATGTATACCATTACTTAGTGCTTTACTTCAGCACTTGGACGACAGGTATACACTGCAAAAATGAAAAATAAATTTGGCAGAACGAATCTTTATTTGAGCACATTCTAACTACCTTAAAACAAGATTTGCCAAAAGGATAAAAACAAGAAATGTCTCTCGGAAAATCTGGTTTGAGGAGAGTCAGAATGTATCCAGATAAACAAACTGTCACGTGGGTGAAAAACAAATGAGGCCCAAAAGGCAAAAACTGCAAAATGATGGATTTAATGAAAGTAATACAAATCAAAACCTACCAAAAACACAGGGAACGGACAGAAGTAAAACAGACTAGGAAAGACAATGACGGAACAGGGAGTGAAGGAACACACAGGGCTAAATACAAGACTAACCAGAATCAGAATCATTTTTATTGCCACGTGAGTAACAAAGTTACCACTTGGAAATTGTCTTGGCAGAGAGCGTGCCACTTCGCCATTTGCGGCGCTGTGTGCAGCAAGAAACAGCAGAGAGCAATAACATACAGTTCACAGACAATTGGACAGACACATTGTGCTTTTTATAAACCGCAGATTTTTTTCTCGGGATGAGCACCTCCGGCGGCCGGCCCAATGTAGCTGTCAGAGGGGGGCGGGATCAGGGAGGGGGTGAGTAGGAAAACAATGAGGAATAGAGGGGAGGGAGGGAGCAAGATGGATAGGTAGAGGGAGGCGGAGGTGAGGGATCCTTGCTGGAGACTGAAATAGTGTGAGTTGTTGTAGATTGTGGGACCTTGTTTATGGCCTTGGTCAAGGAATGTGAGATAAGAGTGGAGAGAAGACACAGCAGGAGAAAAACACATCGCCTGAGTGGGACAATATTATATGCAATGTAGCATCAAAAGCAGGCAGATATTCTATTAATTCCAATTAAACCGAATTACGGCGCCCTCAGACCTCCGTACACAGGGGCAAATCCAAGCCGGGTCAGAGAGTTCAAGCCTGACAAACAATGAGAACACAGGTGAGACAGATGAGGGCAGGGGCAGGTAATCAGACAACAGGAAGTACAACCAAAGAAGACACAGGAATAACACATTTCAAAATAAAACAGGAAATAAACTTAAACCATGACAGTACCCTCTCCTCAAGGGACGGATCCCAGACGTCCCAAAAACAAAACCAGGGAGGGAGGAGGGGGACCGTAGGAAGGACCGGGGGGGTGTAACCGGCACGTGAAGCCGGGACGTGAATCCGGGGCCGGGACGTGAAGCCGGGGCCGGGACGTGAAGCCGGGGCGTGAAGCCGGGGCCGGGACGTGAAGCCGGGGCCGGGACGTGGAGCCGGGGCCGGGACGTGGAGCCGGGGCCGGGGCGTGGAGCCGAAGAGCTGGAGCGGAAGTGCAGGTTCTTAGGAACAGATTTGTACGTAAATCCTACTTACGAGGTTTTTACGAAGAAAGTGGCATTCACGAATATTTTTCGTAACCAGAATTTCTCTTGGGCAAGTACAAATCCTACGAGTCCTCAGGAGCACTCGTACGCATTCAGTGCCGACATGTTCACACGCCGGGGTTGTCCTCTTTGGTGAAGTTTAATAAAAATACAACATTCCAGTGATATGTCCGTCATATTGATGTATGTATTATTTATTTAAATGTTAATCGTAATTTAGCCTATTTTTTAATTCATTTTGAAATGAAATGTGCCAACGCTTTATCAAATACATTGGAAATCATGCCGTGTATTACAGTAGTGACCCCATCCTATTTATAGGGGGCATTTCTTTATCCACGGGCCACAGAACAACGGCATATATACTGCTGCTGCAGGAGGCTGCGGGGTCCGCTCTGAGTCTCTGCACTGGTCTCTCCCATGGATCTATACAGGTCTGCACTGGTCTCTCCCATGAATCTATACGGATCTGCACTGGGGTCTCCCATGGATCTATACGGGTCTGCGCTGGTCTCTCCATACGGGTCCGTGCTGCACGCTCCTGGATCCAAACGGGTCCGCGCTGGTCTCTCCAGTCTGGTTTGCGGTTTCTCTTCGGTCCGCGCTGGTCTCTCCAGTCTGGTCTATGCGGTCTCTCTTCTTCAGTCAGGTCTCTCAGTCTATGCGGTCTCTCCTATAGGTCCGCGCTGGTTTCTGTGTGCTGGTCACTCCAGTCTTTCCTTGGGTCTGCATTGGTCGCAGCGCTGGTCCGCGCTGGATCTCCTCCCAGGGTCCAAAATATTTTTAGATTAATCTCAAAACATTTTGAGATTCATTTTTAAATTAATATATAATATATTTTTAAATTTATCTCATAGCATTTTGAGATTAATCTCATCATATTTTTATATTAATCTCATAATTTTGCTAGTTCGACTTTATTCTTATAATATTTCGACTTTTAAGGTAACATTTTATGACTTTATTCTCAGTCTGGCAAAAGAAGAAAAAAGGGTGACTCTTTTGCTCCGTGTAACTCTTTGCTTTAGGCCTGTTGCTGTTTCCTCTGGCGTCTGCACACGGCCCTGCAGTCCCTTATATGGGCATTAGTGGGCGGTTACCTATGCTAAGTACCTATGCTAATGAAGCACCGGGCACGCGCGCTCTACTTACGAGGAGTTGGCATTCATCAATCTGAGAGAACAGCTGCGAACAATTCAGCGGCTTACGAGCGCGTTGATGAATCCCACGTAGGGTCTTCTTAGAAATCTACTGAAGAACGACTTGAGTAGAAATTTAAGAAGTTTCTTACGAAGTTATTCGTGAATGAGGCCCAATGACCATGACAGCGGAACCTCTTCTTCTGACCCTGATCAGGAGCTTCAGGCTGTGGCTCATGTGTGCGTCTGGTCCATGGTCTCTGTCTCCCTCTGGTGTCCTTCATGGTCTCAGGCTGTGGGAGTCTCACAGACCCTGCAGACTCACAGCTCCTGCACTGTTCTGTCTCTGTGAAACAAAACTCATCTCAGGCTTTTACTCAAAACCGTTCAAAGGATTTTACCTTGTGACTCGGACGGTTACTCTCGATATTCATGGTCCCAGTTAACAAATCAGAAAGACCATTTATGTTCTTTCCGATGTTTTCTTTCTTATTTCTGATAGGAAAATAAGACTGATGGGAAACTATTGGTGTCAGGACCACGCACGAACAACATACAGTATGAAACAACTGCAAGAACTCGACACACCACAAGTTTTTCGCTTTGCCAAAAAATGTATTTCAAAATGACAAGATGAAAAAAGAAACAATCCATGGACCATTTACTTTAAGAAACAACATTAGTTAAAGCAGTAAAGCATTATGGGAACAGGATCTTAATATTGTCATCACAGATCAGCAACGGAGTCTAGTTGAATAATAGAATAACAAGGAAATCTGTAAAGCACAAGAAATACAATTTATAATCATGAATAGATTACACCTCTTATGTAAGAAGTTTTTTTGATAAAGATGGCTGTGGCTTAATCCTATCTCCACTGTATTCTGGGATTATGTCTCACCAAATGTAAAGAGTAATAATAAAGTATTCTATGGCCACTTATCAATATTTCAGTAGACAGCAAATCCTCCCTCTAGACGGCCTTACACATGTGTGGGAAGGAAACATGGAGATTTATGTAAATGTTTGGGGGCCGGTGTTGGAACCTATTGAATCAGGGTGAAATATCAAAATAACGCAAATAAACTGCAAAGATGGATGAAGAAATCACTACGATTTGTCAACAAGGCACACAACTGGTGTGCCTTGTTGACAAATCGTAGTGATTTCTCAGAGCAGTTGTAGATTTGAGTTTTGCTTCACTTAACAACAAACCAATCCCCCCATTCCTGCACCTGCCTGATGTATTAGTTCTGTCTGTTGTAAATGTAGCTTCATTGTTTAAAAAAAAATAAAAATAAATGGCATTGTTGTTTGTTGTTTGCTGTTTTTTATGATTAAAGATCAAGATTTGGTTTGTTTGCCATTTGCAGTAAAACCCCATTGGAATAACTGTACAACAACTGTATTTTAATTGTTTCTGTGGGTTTTGATGTCTTTTGTTTTCCTTGCCGATGCAGTAAGGTCTGAGGACAGTGGTGATGATTCATGCAACAACATTTAAGGTCATCTGCCCGTTATGGACCAATGTCTCTACGTGTGTGTTTTTTATCATTTCCTGTGTTTGAACTGCTTGATTCTCTGATCTGTGTTGGCGAATCGACAGCTTTGAAAATTCCTCAGCGATAACTGCTATTGTTATTTTGGGCTATTGAAATATAAATGTAATTGTTTACTCTTGCGTCTATAAAAAAGAAAAGAAAAAGCCACCTTCCCTCAAACGACAAAAGTGTAAAGAAGCTAGTACTCCATAATTATCACATGTTTGGGCGACAGAGATCCGCCTTCGTCAGAGGAGAGGCGTCCAAACATGTGGCAATTAAGCAGAGCAAGCTTTTAACACTTTTGTCTTATTAAAAGAACTAAGATTTAAACATAAAAAAGACGAAAAACCAGAACCGCCATAAGAACAGTTTCTTCCCCTCTTCAGTTGGACTCAGGAACACTCCATAACTCATCACTGATCGTCACTTTATACAACTCAATTCAATTTCCGATCAGAGAATCCAACAGTTCAACACAAGAAATGCAATGATAGTGCAATAAAGACTGCACTTCAGGTTTAGGGTAAGTGCAATAACATACTGTACTTTAGCCTTGTAGGGCAATATAGACTGCACCTTAGGCTTAGCAGTTAGGGTAAATGCAATAAAACCCTGCACTTTAGATTTTCTTAAGTGCAAGATTGTGGAGTGCTCTCTGCTCTGATGTCCTGTTACTGACTGTTTATAGGGTCCTAGAGGTCTCTGATAGTGCTCTTGCCTGTGTCTATTTTTGGTCTGTTTCATGTTTATTGTTCATTGTCTACTGTGGTGTTTGAAAATGTATGTGGTGTAAAGCATTGTCCCCCGGCCCAAAACCAATTTCTCCTCTGGGAGACAATGAAGGAGTATCTTATCTTAAAACACATTGGATCTGGTCCATAAGGGGCAGATGTCCATAAATGTTGATAAATGTTGTGTATCCTGGATCATCCCCACTTGTCCTTGTGTTAGACCCTTCTGCATCGGCAAGGAACAACGAAAAACCCAGATGGGGGGCTCACATTGAGAACGGACGGATGACCCACTCCTGTCACTTTACCGCACTGCTAAAGTCTCTTGTGTGTACTTAGCGCTTGTATGTTGTAGTATTTTAAGAAATGTTATGTTGATTATTTATTTATTTATGCATGCTATATTCTATTTTCACTTGTATAACTTGATTGCACCGAGAGCCAAAGCAATTTCATAGTTTGTGACTTCCTGTTACTCACAACGGCAATGACGCAAAATCGGATTCTGATAATGAACTTTTAACGTAAACGAAAGCTTCTTGTCCTTCCAGCAGCACATGCATCAGTAGCTGAGGATTGTCCTGATGAGGCTCCAGTAGAAGCCGTCTCTCCACATTTGTCTTATTGTTCTCTGCTCGCGGCCGAACCGTAACGCCAGGTTGGAGTTGTCTCGGCCAAAGCGCATGGGCAGGTTGGAGTTGTCTCGGCCAAAGCGCATGGGCAGGTTGGAGTTGTCTCGGCCAAAGCGCATGGGCAGGTTGGAGTTGTCTCGGCCAAAGCGCATGGGCAGGTTGGAGTTGTCTCGGCCAAAGCGCATGGGCAGGTTGGAGTTGTCTCGGCCAAAGCGCATGGGCAGGTTGGAGTTGTCCCGGCCGAAGCGCATTGGCAGGTGGGCGTTGTCTCGGCCGAAGCGCATTGGCAGGTTGGCGTTGTCTCGGCCGAAGCGCATGGGCAGGTTAGGGTTCACGGGGCCGCTGTTGTCGAGGTCCTGGACGGTGTTAGTGCGGCCGAAGCGCAGCGGCATGTTGAGCGGCAGCGGCGCAGGTTTGGAGGTGGGCGGGAACAGACGCACCACGGCGGGGAGGCTGCTGCGGCTGGTGGAGGGCGATGCCTGCAGCGTCAAGGCCTCCAGGTCCAGACTTCTGTGGACGCTGGTTTTGCTCTATGAGGAAAAGACTGGTGAGTATTTGTAATGATCAAGAGTTTCAATCAGAGTGATTTAACAGAACAAGATAGAAACAAAACAAGACATTCAAATCATAAAAAATCATAATACATTAAAAGAAGTGAAGGTGAAATTGTATGCACAGCTAAACAGAAATGGTTGTAGCTGCATTAATCTGAAATGCTGCCTCGCCATATTAAGTTCTGACTCAAGGTTCCAGCAGGAGTCCTGTCCCTGTGCTCCCTAGAGTTTATTCATATGGCACTAACCTGTCATAGATGTACTTTGGTGCAAAGCCCTGGAGAGATTGTGCACAAACAGAGATGCTTTAAAGTCTGTTCTCTGAGTCGCAGGAAGCCAGTGCAGAGACCTGAGAACTGGACTAATGTGATGGTACTTCTTGGTGCTTGGACTCAAGCTGCGGCTTCAACGTTAAAGAACAAATGTTTTACATTCTTAGTTCTGGTTCCAAAAAATTACTCGTATTTCCTCCAGGGCTGAAACCGAAGACTTACAATTCAATGAACTAAATGTGACACTTTGAGATGTCTCCGTGGCACTGTGTCTGTGTCTGCACTGAAGCCGACACTGATTATGAAATTGCAATTCTTATGCTATTTCATGCATATATTCCTTATTTGTTTGATCTGTTTATCACAAAAACATAATAACATATTAGCACAAATATTAACATTGTTCATTATTATTGGTTAAATCGTAAAGGAATAAATATTAGATTAGATCAAGTTACACAATTGGATTGCTGCAGCCATACCTCCTACAGTCACCTGATTGATAAAACATTAATTTCAAATCCATTTGTTTGGGGAAAAATATTAAAGCCATGCCGGTAATCTGACTCAACATTTGACCCCTGCCCATACTGTGGTTCTCTTAAAACACTTTTTAAGCAATTTTGGTCAAACCCAAGCTTCTCATTCAAACACTATGCATGAGTCGGTGATTATCTGAAGGGTGACTATTGGTGCCATGGCCGACTCTGACAGTCTGTTTTGTCTTGTGTAAAGCCCTGTGCACACTGAAGATCTTTGGTTGTGTGGTTCTGGTTTTAACATCAATAAAACAAGTCGTCCCAGACACGATCCCAGACCTTGTCATTGTCTTCAATAGGAACAAGCATTGTACAATCACAATACTAAAGTTTCTCTGATCTCCAGCCTCTTCCATCCCCCAGATACTCACAGAACTCTTGGTGCGCTGCGGCCGCCTCGCACTGTGCCGGCTCATGTGACTCGCCTCTCCGTAGATCTGCACCTCTGCCCCGGCCAGCGCCAGTAGAAGGCACAGCCCGATCACGGTCCACATCCTGGGGTCGATCTGTGTGCGCTCTGACCCCACCGGCCCCCGCTTTAAAGGCCCCGTGCCCAGTGCGTCATCGGCACGTGCACATTTAGATTATTTCCTTAATGACCGGCCCATTCCGAACAATACTCTGCGAGAGCAACGTGAGGTCTAATTGAGAGCTAAATGAGGCGGATTTTGCGCCCTGCGATCATATATTGTCACAAAGATTTTCAGAGTTGGCTAATTGAGCGAGAGCGCTGCATGTGACAGCGACACGGGAAGTATAGGCAATAAAAGGCCATGTATTTCTGACAGATTTCAATAGTTCTTTGGAGTCCACTTCTTCAAAGTATAATTTAAGAATTTATGAATGGCTGCCGGTGGTGATGATATTTAAGTCGTGTCAAGAGATAAAAAAGTCATTTATAAGCACAAATGACCTGAACAGAAATATCAATAAAATCAATGTACAACGTGCATAATGGTTATTTTTTGTAAATGCACCAGAATTTGGCAAGAAGGCTTTTTTTCACCTGTGGTCCCTGGACAGATAGATACAATACATAGATACTTTATTGATCCCTGTATAGGAGAAAATAAGGTGTCCAGTAGCAGCAAAAACACATCCATCCACACAAACAAGCTAACAATACACGTGTAACATAGTCTCCCACATTAAAAAGTCATAACAATAAAATGCAGTAACACACAGAAATTAGGGGCAAGCAAGAAAATATTCATCACACACACAAAAAAACACAGTTCACACACAACAAGAAATGATTTACAAAGTCTGACGTGAATGGCTGTCTTTAGCATCTTAATGGGGTTCAAGTCAGGACAGAAGCCCGGTGAAAGATGGCGCCCAATTCAAATGAATGGCTTGTGTTCAGTAGAAAGCAAGGGACTTCACGGGGACCGAGAGATTAGGAGAACTCGCCCATATTTGGGCATCGTCTGGTCCTCCCGGTTCTGCGCAGTGTACGAGCTCCCATGATGGCTGCGCTCTGACCAATCAGAGCTGCTAATCAGAGCAGCAGCAGAGCGGAGTCAGAGCGAGAAGGAAAGGTGCAGAGTTTGTGGCAGGAAAGTGTTTATTTAAGGAAAACTGAAGGATTTAAGAAGAAAAAATTTCAGGATGACATTGGACACTAAAATCCCCACAAAATCCGATATTTCTGAAAGCAGTAGGTTCTCTGTCAGCTCAGGTCGAGCTGTTTTAGTTTACATTGAGTTTTATGGGACTTTTTTCTGGGTAGCCCGCATGGATTTAGTCTGCAGTACCACGGGCGCCCCCGGTGCCCATAGGTGGGACAGCTATAAGGCTATAAGCTAGTAATACCCTATCCAGTTAGTATAATAGACCCATGGGGCAAAGACACAGCCACTCCAGAAACCATTCAGAAGTTGATCTACTGTTTTGTTTTGGATCCTTGTCTTGTTGCTGCATCTTTTCTCTTTTTAGCATCAATTATTTTCCTGCAAATTATTCTGATAAACTTCTGAATTATTAATTTTTCATTAATGATTGAAGTGACCAGCCCAAACCAGCAAACCATGGCGCCCCCTCCACCAGGCCTCAGGTTGGGGGTAATTGGTTCCATTTTCCTCCGCACAATGAAATCATTAAACTTTTTTTGGTAGACCGTCTTTCCTACACAAGGCAACACAAAGCGCCTCGCAACCCATATCACATACATTTATCATAAACATTAAAATCGACATGAGTGTTAAAAAATATGATAAGAAACTTACATTAAGATCCACTCATCAGCATGTCACTGTCAACTCATCTATTGTCTGGACGTTGTTTTTAGGACGTTGTAGATATGAGGCAAAAAATAATCCCTGTACGACTGAGATCTTACACAAACTTATCACAAGAAATATTTAAAAAACACAGTCATTTTAAAACATTAAAAAACACATGGCATTAAAATCGTGAATAGCCACAGTGCATTAAAACGAGTAAAGATTAAAATCCTTCAGTTAAAATCCTCTTTTTTTTAGCTTTTAACCATAAAAGAAAATTGTTCCCTCATCCGTCACAGACCTGGAGATTTTTTTAGATCCACCCACACTAAACACAAGAACTTTTGCCACAAACATGTATCTCAATAAGCTCCTGTCTCAGTCCCGTAATAGTTTGGAGTTAATGTGGTTTTACTACTTTTTAAATTAAAAAAAGAAAAAAAAAAAATCTTCTACCTGTTAAATATTCAACTCCTCTCTCTCGGGATAGGGCAGGTGGTTATGACAGACTGGATCCTGTTTTCCCTTGACACTTGTTTCATCATATATTTTCTTCTGAAGATGATATTTCAAATTCTAAAACATAAAGAGGAAAAGAAACTTGTCTAATTATAAGGTTTAACGTCCAAAACAACACTATTTCTACTTTAATGCTTGTGTTTCAATGATCATGTCAAAAAGGCAGAACACAAGAACAAATTCTGTAATTATTTTGTCAAACACAATGTTTTCTGTCTATAAAAAAAAAATACAGTCTCAAAAATAGATCTGGGGATTTCACTGCAAAGAGTGATGAAAACTAAGTAAAATATTGCTCAAATTGGTCAAAATTGATCTAAATTTGAGCGCGTCTTAAAACAAGATTTGGATACAGCAAAAAACAGCAAGATACAGAAAATGTCTCCTTTGGAATGGGAAAATAGAGCAATAGTTTTTGAAATAACACAAAATGGCTTGATCTATTGGCAAATCTGTAAGACTGTACTCAAATTAAGACAAATACCACTCGATTCAAGCAATTATAGCCTTTTGCTCTTTTTTTGCATTTTTTGCACTGTTCTATAGTGACCAGACAGCTATTTTTGGGTATTTGATTTGGTTGGATGTTTGACCAGAGTAACACCAATCATTCGTCGCTCCGTGTATGAATGCACTTTCATATTTGACGTCAGTGTCCTGTTCTGTTCTAATCTGACGTTACCTTCTTCCCGGAGTGTGTACTTGAGCTCACATTCCGCCTGCGATGGCCAGCAACAGTAATGAGTGTTTGTCGCAGGTATTCGAGCCGAGCATTTATGACCGTGCCCTCCGCTGAAGGTACAAAGGAGGCATCAGGTCCTGCTTCCGGCCAGACTCACCGAGAATGTGCACAATGTCCACAGACAAAAACAGAGGCATGTGTTTGGGTTCAGGAGAGAGGAGGTCGCTTCGTCCACAGATGGAAAATAGCCTTTGGTCACAATCTGACACATTATGTTCTTTGACACGTACTGTCCCAGTCAAATAAAAGAAGAAATACAATTAGTCCAACCGTTTTTCAATTATGTTTATCTCTGTTCATGGTGTATCTTATTTATTGCATTATTTTGTATGAAATATATAGATAGAGGTCACAGCAGCAGATCGTGGAGATGCTGCTTTGTTCAGACCATTTTCTCTGCTGTCGTCAAAAGTGAGATGCTGAAATGCTTTGTTAGCGTTTGTCTACGTTTGAGATCAAATTATGATTTTTCTTATTAGGAAGAGCGTAAAATAAGAGCTCCTTTATTTGTCTCTCAGTGGGGAAATTTCATTGTTGCAGCGCACAAACAGGACAGTAGAGTACACACAGTCATAGCTATGTTTTTTAGCTGTAAATGCTTCAACACCAGTCTTTCAAATACAATACAATACAATACAATTTATGCTTGTATAGCCCTAAGTCAGAACAGAAGTCATCTCAGAGGACTTAACAGAACCATTGAAATCCCCAACACAGGTCAGAGAATCAACAGTTAAAACACATGACAAATATAAAGCACACACAGAAAAAAATGTCCATACATGTTGTAGAATGTTAAAGTGTCCTGATCATCACCAATCCTTTCAAATACACACACATACAATAGGACAAAATAACATAGGAAGTTTTGGCGACGTGCAAAACTGAGGTTTGACAGCTTTTTGTCCAGCTCTGGCTTCATTTTACCATCAGCCGTATTTTCTGTGTCTGGGACAGATTTATGCTCTTGACTTGACTTTTAATGCAAAACAATCAATCAAATGTATTTATAAAGATAGAGTAACCTAAATTGTTTACAATAATTAAGTAAAACAATCCGTCCTCCTGTGGACTCACCACCTGCAGAGGGTCAGTGAGGGGCTGGTGCTGTGAGACTTGGGTGGCATCTCTGATTGCCACCCCCCTGGCCCAGAAAGGATGGATGGATAAAACAATCCGTAAAAAAGACAATTATCAAACAAATTAAATAAATGCTTAAAATGAGTCATATGCATCGCTGGGCAATGCCAGGGACGAGGCCTGTCTTTCAAGCTGAGCGAGACTGATCCAGATTTTTAACTTTTGTGTTCATGAAAAACATGTGTTTGTCCAAAAGTAAGAGTCTTCAAAGATAAATCTCAGAGCATAACGTGCTGTCTTCAGACAGCAGAAGTAGAAGAGCTTGTAAGTCACAATCTGACTCTGAGAGCTGATTGGCTGAATGAGGGTGGTCCTTTCTTTCTCAATGTTTTGTCTAAAAAAGCTGATCTAAAGTAAGTAAGTAAGTAAGTAATTTATACAGTGCCTTTCACAGACCTGAGTCAAGGTGTTTTACAATTGTCGTTTTTTTGGGCATTTGTCTCTGACTCCACACATTTGGGGGCAGGGTCACTATACAAGATACAGACGCCAGACCTATTGTACATTTTTTGTGATTTGATTTTAGTGGTACTGTATAGGAAACCGGAGCACCCGAAGGAAACTGGAGCAGACACAGGGAGAGCATGCAAACTCCACACAGAAAGGCCTGGAGGTGGAAACGAACCTAAGACCTTCTCGCTTGTGAAGCACAAGTGCTAACCACTGCCCCACTGTAAAGATGGATGGAGGCCAAAATAGGAAGTAGTGACGTGGAAATTAAATGTATATTCTTCCAAAGCTGTGTTCGCAGTTAGTAAATTTCAAATTTGCACAAAAAAAATAATCAAATTCTGCCCCTCCCTCTGGTGGTCACTATTTATGTTCTAATTTCACCATGTATTTTCTCCTAAAGCTAGTCAGAAGACCCATCTTGATGACTGAGTTTGACAGTTGGCAAAAATGTGCTTGACAAAAAATCAATTCAGACTTTGAAGATGCTTTGCTGATGCAAACCACAGGTGGCGCTGTTTGACAATGTGTTTCTACACACTACATAGAAATTGGTCATTGGTCATGATGGTCATTTTTCACAATGTAACAATAATACGCTGAAGTTTGTATAATGTAATTGTGAAATCAACATTTGTATTTGACAAATTAGAGTTACATTGTAAATTGAAGACTGCATGATGACTCAGCAATTGTCCAGAATTCATATTTGGACCCTTTTTACTCAGAAAACTGCTGGACTTGGTTGAACTTTAGCAACATACAGTTGCTGCTCACCAGGGGGCGGAGCTGTCTCACTTCCAGAATCTCTCCTTGGTTTCACCGAAATGGATTTTCTAGGCATCAATTTCAAGTCAGTATCACTACTAACCTCCAGAAATTTGAAACCAGAACTGCAGAAAAATGAAAGATGGATATAGATAAAGTACAGGCCAATTATTGATTATATCTACCCTGCTCTATTTATCACAACAGGCCAATGTTGCAAATCTGCAACATCCAAGAATGCATTGCCTGTTAAGGTCCCTCCACTAAAAAGAGATTGAATACTTCTACCCCATATGATAATTTTCCCACAATATCAGATTTTTCCTGTCATTCAAATTGAATTGTGCCTTGAGAAGGTTAAAGGAAGCAATATTGTAGGATAAAAAGTCTCTTTTTGTCCAAAGTGACACAAAGTGGCTGGAAATGAATTGGTCACTGGACTTTGTGCTTTCTTTCATCTCAAAGACAAAAGCTGAGGACCCAGACGGACTCCGCTGGGACCGGTGCGTGGCTGCGTTCCCAGAATTCCGTCCAGTTTTTCTGGATGATTTGTGGGAATGCTGTTAGGCTCTGTGTGGCCTGATTTACGAGGCTCCACATGCGGAGAGGAGACGCATCCATCAGCGCACTCCGACAGCTTATAGTTCTATCAATGATCGAATCCATTTGTGGAGGAGGAGGAGGAGGAGGAAGAGGAGGAGGAGGAGGAGGAAGAGGAGGAGGCCCAGGAGCTGATGGAGGCAGTGGGACAGACGGCCAGTCTGGGGGGGAGGGATACGCCTCTTCGCTTCATCAGCTCAAATGAGGTTTACAGGGACGTGGACCACTTGTTGAGACGCTGCAGTGATGGTGCAGAGCCTAATGTGATCAGGTATTACACTTTGAAGCAACAAGGCGTAAGACATTCAGAGAACCTGTCGGTACAGAGTAGATAAGCAGGGAAGGGTCAGGTTAGTATAGTGATGGGAGACCTCTGGGAACACCGGGAGCCACAGTGGGGTAGCTGAAAAGTGCCAAACTGTGGTTGTGTCATTGTCCTGGGTGACCCCAGGAGAGCTTGGCTGCAGTTATAGTTAAATACTGTGTATGATGTGAATGAATAATGCCATGTGAAGTATCTGTGACTGTCCAAAAAGTGCTAAAACCTTTAAAAACAGATGATTTAATCAATAAAGCACACTTGCTTCTCAGAAAGAAGGTCCTGGGTTCAAATCCCAGTCGGAACAGCGCCTTTCTGAATGGAGTTTGCATGTTCTCCCTCCGTGCCTGCGTAGGTTTCCTCCGGGTACTCCGGTTTCCCCTACCACTAAAAACATGTACAATAGGTCTGGCATGTGCCTCCTGTACTGGCGACACCTCTCCCATCTCTGTGTGGAGTGAGAGACAAATGCCCACAATTGTAAACCGCTTTGTGACTGGTTTGTGAAAGGAACATAAATAAAAATGACTACTGACTACTACTTACTTCAAAGAGTGATGATCAGTTTCTCATCACTCAGTAATAACCATGATTATAATAATGACTCTGATTGTGGAAGACTCGATAAAGCAACATGCTTTAGTTACACTTACATGTGTGAAGGACAGATGAAGAGGAAGCAGACTCTGTGAATACTGTCTGATCACGTTGCTCTCATTTATATAGGCTAATAGTGAAAACTCCTCTGAAGTCATATTCATGACGTTGGAAGAGGAGAGGATAGTGCCGTTAACGTACTTCTCCAGTAAAAGCTGTATGCAGCTTTACTGACAGTCTGTGCTTTTTGACTTAAGGTTAAATTTCCAAGTATTCCCTGAGTCTTACCTTCCTAACAATGTGCTGAATTAAACTGTCTTAATTATGTCCTTAAATGTAGAGACTGTCTCTGCCTCCTTGACGTGGATGAGGAGCTGATTCCACAGTAGGAGCTTGGTAGCTAAATGCTTTGCCTCTAACTGTGCTTTTTGACACTCACCAGAAGCTAATTAATACTGACTTGGTAAAAAATAACTTATTTGGTTATAGTGGGTAAAAGTATTTCCTTTGTCTTCCTCACAATTTCCCCACAATTTTGACCACCACCTCGTTGGGTGTAGTGGTTCTTCTGGCACCCCCTATGCGGTTTTAGCTTAGCTCCACTTTACCAGCTTCACTAATATTGTTCTCTGCTGTTGAACATTTGTTTGAATATGTGTTTGTGCAGGTGAAAGTGATGAACATTTATCAAATCTGATTCTCATTGAAATAAAGGAGTGCAGCTGGAGCCTCTGTACTCTGTGTCAAAATCTCTTCACAAAAGCTGCAACTGATTTTTTTAGTTTTTGTTCAGGAAGGTTCATCTTGTCTTATGGGGGAAGTATCTTGCCTTAGAAGACAACAACAGTTTGATATTATACTGATGATGCCATGCTGTTTCCGGAGGTCTCCCATCTTCACTTGCTTGGCTTCTCAGTTGTGACAGTATAAGCCAAGGTGAATGTTATGCAGATAAAATAGTTTTCAACCAAACTGACTTTTTATTAAATGTCATCTCTTCGGCTACTGTTTACTTGTAAAAACATGTTTTTAATCGTTTATGAAAAGTGCTCCTGTTCAGACGTGTGAAATGTACTGTTTAAATATGCTACTGTTGTAAACATGAGCACATGAGAGATCGTTTTATTGATCGATACTTGTAAGAAAGAGCCCTTTGAGTCACTGTTTGACCCCACACTTCCCCGGGCCCCTGTGCTGTCCTCAGGGGCCGATAAGGGACAGGTGAGTGCAGATAAGAGATTGTGACAGTGGAGGAGAAGAACCCTCTCTGTTATCTTCTGCCCAGTGTGAAAGACTTGGGCAGAAGTAATAAACTTTATTTAACGTCAGTCACATCATCCAAAAAAAAAAAAAGATTTACAAGAATTACAAGAAGAAACACCATTAAATTCTCTTTATTCTAAACATTGAACCCAAACAATTAGTTTATAAAAATAAAAATATACACACAGCCTGCATATTTTCTTTAGAATACACTCTCCCTTATGTCCAGTTTTGCTTCAGTCCAAACAAAACTGATAGAGAAAAGGATGTGACATAAAGACCTTTTAAAGATCATACTATCCATACATGTGTTCAGAAAACCCTTCATCAAAAACCAGTCATTACCAAACATAATGAAGCCCAAACCGCCACCGTGGAATCTCCATAAATCGCGGCCGTAGCGGAGTGTATAGAGTGTGCTAATAGTGCGCCTTGGCCCCATTACGAGGGCGACCCGGGACAGGCAGCTGGGCAGAGCCGGAGCATGAATCTTCACTAATGGATCCCCCTGCAAACGCCACATGATTTAGCATCTACATGTATATAGCATCACTAATATTTATGGAACAATAACGTTTTATGAAGCATTTACTCAGAGATGCCACGTGTCAGCTGCGGTGATGAACAGGACGGGGGGAGGAGGGGCCACTGGGAGGACTGAAAGAACATGTACAAATAATAAGGCGTCATTCATGTAAGAACAACTTAATTTGGTGTTGAGAGTATTTACTTCTGCATTTCTTGTTCTATAATGGTAAATAATGTACTGTGAATATTGGACACAGAAATGGTCCTAAGGAATGAAACACCTCCATCTTATGGTAGAAGCCGGAAAGTGGTGGTGACCCAGGACACTCAACGTTCAACAACATCTATGGATATTTATCAACGGTTTTGTAAAGTTCACCGAGATAACGACTGTTGTGATTTCGGGCTATACGAGAATACATTGAATTGAATTGAACGTATATTAAATGTATAAATGTTTGTAAAGAACAACATTTGAGTGGCAGGAAATACTTTGGTTTTCAGATGCAGAAAGCAGCTCTGTTCTGTCTATGATGTCATATCGTAAGAATTATCCAACGTTTGAAAAATGAGCTTTTAGACAGAAGTGGAGGGGGATGTGCCAGAACTTCCTAAATTATGAAATTGAATGATCTTTAATGAAAGCTGGGTACTTTAATGTCAAACCACACAAAATGGAACGATAAAACAAAAACATCCGCAGCTTTTTACCATCTACAAAACATCAGAAGTATAGTGTTGAAATCAGACTTGGAGATTCTTATCCTACATTTGTCTCTAGATGGGTTAGACTAGAATCAGGAAGTACCATCACAATAGTCCAGTTCTCAGGTCTCTGCACTGGCTTCCTGTGGCTCAGGGAATAGACTTTAAAGCAGCTCTGCAAGTCTCTCTATGGCCTCGCACCAAAGTACATTAAAGACATGTTAGTGCCAGATGAACCAACTCTGACTCTGAGGAGCACAGGGACTGGCCTCCATGGGACAAAAAGCAGCACAGGGACTGGCATCCTACTGGCCTCCTGCTGATCCCAGAGTCAGGACTAAACATGGGGAATCTTCCTGTCTTCCTGAAAATGTGGGGCCGGCTTCTACCCTGACAAAGATGAAAACAGTTGTGTTTAGCTGTGCGTACTGTGATTACTCATGCTTTGTAGTGTGTGTAATCTTTCAGAATTTCCTTAAACTTGCCTTGCTTTGTCTTTTGTGTCACATCTTAAGATCAGCTTTTTCAGACAGAAATTAAAACAAGCTCCAATCCAATAATGGGTTTTAATTAAGCACATGTTGAAGGATTAGGATGCATTAGGATGAAGCATGGTGTGGCTTGATTTGTTCACAAAATGTTACTCTTACAACATTATTTATGTTAGAAACAACATAGAAAACTTGATAACTAGACAAGGATAAACATAAAAATGATAAAAAATATATAATTAAAGAGCATATATGCAGTGTTTCTAGCCCTCAAATCCGAACATACTTCATGTTTATGCTATAACATGGAACAACTATAATGTAATACTAATGTAAGCTGCAGTTGTGAAAAAAATCACTAGAGGGCGCTCTGAGGTCACTTGATGGACTCCTGAGTTTCATTCACAAAGTCAGTGTGTGAAAGTGAGGGTGTATGTGTGTAATGTACAGTTTGTCAATTTAAAGTTGTATGTGTTTTATCCATGTTTCTATGTTTTGAGTTTATATTAATCTAGATATTCTGGTGGAGGTTCTGCTGTTGGCTTAGGTCGAACTGTTGTGTTTCTGTAATCCCACAGCCAGACATTACATTTATCATTTACAGACAAAGAAAAAAGAAATACAAATATTGCGTAAAATTTCAAAAAAATTTTGTTTGTCAAGAAATACAGTCTTGATTAAGGTTGTGTTGAATCGATGCAACATTCTGTTCACAATTGTCATTTTTTTCTATTACTTTTTTTAAATTGTTCCCTCATCATTCTAGATACATTTTTTCTATAATTTTTAAGTATATGTCTGTACAGGTACGTGCTCGATTCCAGGTCATATCTGCAGAGAGGTAAGGGCAAGTTGAGTATCTGTGTTTGAATGTTGTTTAAGTGCAATATGAATACAGCACAAACATTTTCAAAATCAGAATTTGAAATTGTTTAACTTTCTCACCTTCGAGACAGCTGTTGTTGGAATTTTAGACGATACACATATAAATGGAATACACAAGGAAATTTCAGCTCTTTGTAAATGTGTCATGTCACTCGTGTTCACTCGAGTTCACACAATGTTCATGAATCATAAAAGATGAACATTGGTACATTTGTTTTCAAAAAGCAGGAGGGTGTACGGACAGTGGTGATGATCCAGGGCCTTTTTATGGACATTTATTAACATTAATGGACATTGGTCATCTGCCCCTAACGGACCAATGACTATGTGTTTTTTTATCATTGCATTTCCTGAGTTTGAACTGTTTTTTTTTCTGATCTGTGGTTGGCAAATCAACAACTAAGTCCCCCTGTAGTGATTTAGGGCTATACAAAAATAAATTGATCTGAATTGAACAATAGTGTCATTTTAAAATAACATTTACATTGTGAAGACAAAGCAGCAGAAGCTCATGTGTGAGTTTGTGAGATAAATATTCGTGTGCATAAATAACAATTAATACTCCAGTTTTATCCATTGCTAAAGAATAAATAAATGTGACTTTTCAATGTGCAACACTTGAAAACACACTCTGACTCACCAGCAGGGGGAGCTCCAACACACACTTTGTATTTCACATAAGTGGGAGGGGCTTCGGTAAGAGGTGGGGTATCAAATGAGTGGGTGTGGCCAAGCTGAACGAGGCGTGGCTTAGAGCAAGGGGGGCGGGACCGTTGCGGAAGGGACGGACTTCACCGGTGACCAATGGGAACTCGGGAACCACCAGCCAATCAGGGCGCGGAGAAAACAGAGCAAGGAGAGAGAGGGGAAAGGGGAGGAGTTTGGGGAAGTGGGAGGGGTCCAATAAGGAAAGGGGTGGGGCATGCGATCCACAGGAAAAACGACGTCTATTCTGGGACGTCGAGCAGATTGAGTTGTGATGGAGGGGGAGAAATCAGAGAGGGGGAAAGAAGTGCAGGAGGGGGGAAAGAGAATGTTGTAAAGGCATTAACATATAGACGAGAGGCAGGCGAGAAAACGGGAAAAGACAGGCACATTTAAATGGAACTTTGCTAAATTATTTATATGAGCGTCCAATAAAACATATGGAAACATTCAGTCAGTCATCAGGGAAAAAAAATCAAACAAAGAAACGAATACATGATGCTCAAAAGCAGAAGAAGTTGGAAACCTTATGTATATTATCCAACCACTTTAACTGCTGTCATTACAATTACAATGTAAGACAAGGCAGGTTTATTTGTATAGCACAGTTCATCTCGTTTTGCTGAACAAAAACAGATTCAAACAATCACACGAGGCATTACAATCACAAATAATCACAGTACATTAAAAAGAGTAAAGATACAATCCTTCAGTTGTATGCACAGTTAATCAAGGCTGTTTTTAACCTGGATTTGAACATTGTCAGAGAAGAAGCCTGTCTCACAATTTCAGGAAGACTGTTTCAGATTTTAGCCGCATAAATCTGAAACGTTGCTTACCTCATGTTCAGCTCTTACTCAGGGCACCGGCAGGAGGCAATTAGTCGTGCATTGCAACAGTTTTCTAATTGTGAGTATAGGGTCTGTCTTTCATAGAAATAACATGAACAGAAAAGGTGCAACAATTCTAATTGTGATATTTTTAACATAGTGTCTCAAAACACAAAATAGTCCATCATAAAACTCCACAAAATGAAAGAAAAAAACTCTCTCACTGCAAATTGTCATCTTGTGTCCTCTTAAAGCCCAAACAATGAAACAATGTGATCAAATTCATCTTGCTGAGTTCATCACTAGTTTTCATATTTTTGTAATTTGGTCAGTTTTCAGACAGAAATGAGGAAAAGAGATGACCTCATTCATTCAACTCTCACCGCAAAGAGTAACATGGACTCACTATAACAAGTATTACAGGTTTTCTTATGTTGGGACGAACAATATGTGTTGATTACGAAATAATGTAGGGCGACAGTAGCTCAGTTGGTAGAGCATTGGGCTTTGGGCCTGAAGGTTGTGGGTTCGAGCCCACCGTAAGACCTACTTCACAACTCCCACTAATGACTAATCACTAATAATGGGCAAGACACTTAACCCCACTTTGGCTGAAGCCCCCACTGAAAGATCTCAGCTGGTGCTATGTGTACTGGGTGCAGCTCTGACTGCCACCCCCCCAACCCAGAAATGGATTAAGGGGAAGAAAATGGATGGATGGATACAAAATAATGTTTGGTTCCCCAGGTGTAAGTTAGAGACCCCTCCCTTACAATAATTGGTCTGTAAATGTTAAGTTGTTTTTTTTTAAAGTCTTTGTTGCCTATGTTTCAAAACCAACACGTGATTGTTAGGTACCCCAGCTTCAACGCTTAGCCCAAAATCAACACAGTAGTGTCTCGGGGGACTTTACAAAGCTGTTGATTTGCCAACACAGATCAGAGAATCAAATAGTTCACAGGAAATGCAGTGATAAAAACACATAGAGCCATTGGTCCATAAGGGGCAGATTACCAATGTCCATACATGTTAAAAAAAATTCATAAATGTAGGATTTCAAGAATTGATCATTTGGAATCAGAACCATAACTTTCCAATAGCTCAGTCAGTGATACCAAACTGACCTCTGATCAATGACCACATCACGTTTGTATGTAATATATAAAAAATGACAAACAAAAATGCGCATATTCCCTTTGACTTATGTCCCGTGGAAGGATATTTACGATCACAATGTGAAACAGTAGAACGTCCGCCGCTGACCCCGAGCCCACGCGGCCGGACGCTCCTCCAGGGGTCTCCAAGGGTCTCCAAGGTCGGGTCGCCTGAGGAGCACCTCTGACCTCCCTCTGAAGGACGTCCCTCTGCTGCCTTCAAACGCTCAGCAGTCAGTGGTCAGTGTGGGGTTTTTACTGCCGCAAATAGTTCACATATAAACTATCGCATACATGTAAAGGGAGAGCTGTGGGAGTCGCTGTAGGCTTCTTTGGGCTGAGAGCTGAAGAAAGCGACAAAAAATAAGTCAAAAATTGCTTAAATGTATCTTAATTTGAACACATTCTGTCTGCCTTAAAACATAATTTGCCAACGGAACAAAGAGCAAAATTATATGGATTTCAAGATACAAGAAAAGTCATCCTTGGAATGAAAAAAGAGAAACAGTTTTTGATCTAAAACTAAATGGCTTTGTCCCGGTGTCAGAATGTACTCAAACTAAGATAAAAACCACTTAATACAAGAAATGATTACCTTGTATTTTATCATTTTTTTCCGTGTACGAAAAATTATGTAAAAAGTTCTTTAACTAGGATTATCTGGGTACTTTACTTAAGTACATTTTGACTAACCAGATTTAATGAGACAGGCGAAAGTGCTTGTGAGTCACTATTTGAGTCTTTGGGCTGAGTGAGGCTCGTCCTCTTTTTCACTTTTCTGTCTGAAAAAGCCACTGTGTCTTGTCCTCTTTTCTCATTGGTTAATCGTGCCATCAATCCCTCAATGAAAGCAAAACATCCACTTTCACGCGTTCTCCGACCTCAGTTTCTTCCTTCCCGGTTTCCCGTGTTGACGTTGCTCGTTGCCACTCTCACGTTGTACCAAAAAGGACGTGGATGATGTTATATAGAGAGCTAACCCAGGTGTGTAACATATAAATAGTTTTGGTTTTAATAACAATTTGGAAGCTGCATATTCTATAATGTTTGAGAGTTTAGATCGGGGCCGTGGAGTACCTTTCTACTGCCTTTCCTTCATCACAAACTTGCTAGATTGCCGCAGCCCAATGTTGTAATGAAGTTGGCCATACCTGCATGTGATCCCGTCAGACCTCTGAAGCTAAGCTGGGCAGGGCCTGGTTAGTACATTGATGGAAGACCTCTAGGAACACCAGGTGCCACAGTGCTACAGCTAAAAAGTGCTAATCTCTTGTTGTGTTCTTCGGCAAGACACTTCAGCCACATTGCCTACAATGAGTCTGGTGTGTGTGTGAACGTTTGGGGAAGGTCAAAAGGGCCGGTGGCACATACTAGTTATACTGGTTAGAATGGGTCTTGAGTGTCCAAAAAATATATAAAACCGCTATATAAAACCAATGCATTATTATAAGTTAAATGTGAATATTAAAGTGAACTGAACTGCGAAACCATTTGTTGCTACTTGTTGCTACCATAAAAGGATGTGACAGAGGTAGAAAACACATGGATGAAAACCCAGGCTAGAACCAAACTTAGCTGAAACAAAGATGGCATGTCTTTGTGGGTTGAGAGTTAGGTAGAGATCGTATTCCGACTTGGGCCCAAATACGACACAATCCCACAGGCGGAGACCAGAGTGGATGCACCCTGTGTGATGGAAAGGGTGATGTTGAGAAATCTTTTGACAATTTAAGAATAATATGATAAGCCTCACACATCACCAGTCATTTGGATTTTTCATGTCACTCCCAGCAGTGCTCCATTTCTCAGAAGCTTCTCTGATCCGTCAGTGGGACACATTTGGCAGAAGGATGTATGTAATCTGTAATGTAAGGGACAGTCTGTACAAATGATCTGAGAGGCAGATGGTGAAAACTCTCTAAGGTTTGTGTGATGTGTGAGATAAGTGTAAGCCAGTCTTTCCAACAGATTTAAAGGTAAAACAACCGAATCTGGGAGACAAATGTGGTGAGGGACAAGGGAGGCTGAATGTGGGTTTAAGTTTCAATGTATTTACAGATCTACTTTCTACTTGACAAAACATGAAGAGGTTTGGCTCCTGGTTTCAAGGCCCTACACAATGAGCAGTCTAATCAGCTGCATATAGTGCCCCAAGGTCACAGGAGGGTCCCCAAGAATGGTCCACAACGTGATAGAACATTATATATTTGCCTCATTCCCACTGCGCAAAAACGTCAGACTAAAATATCTTTTACTCGTCCCACGGTGGAGAAATTACAGTTACAGAACAGTAGGAATGAGGAGCACACAGCACAAGATAAGAGCACAAGTAAGTAAGTAATGTTTATTTATAAAGCGCATTTTATCGACAAAGGTCACGCAAAGTGCTTTACAATGTTCAGATATTTTTCCGATCACACCCGGTGATGGCGCAAGCGAGACGCGAACACACTGGCTCCAAACAACACCATCCATTCACTCACTCAATACATTCATACTATTGTGCATGTTTTTAGTGGTAGGGGAAACCGGAGCACACGGAGGAAACCTACGTAGACACAGGGATAACATGCAAACTCCACTCAGAAAGGCTTCTTGCAGGACCTTCTTGCTGAGAAGCGAGAGTGCTATCTACTTAGCCACCGCACAATAACTCTTTACTTAAATAAAACAATTCTACCTTTAGCCTAATACAGAAGCAAGTATGAAATCTCTGACTTTAGCATAATACAGAAGCGTGTAAAAGGCTGTAAATTCTAGATCAAGATATATAGTAGTAATCTTTATTTATATACCACCTTTTCACTGCACATCGGAGTCTCAAAGCGGTTTACAATTGTTATTTTTGGGAGTGCAGGGCGCCAGTACAGGAGGCACATGCCAGACCTATTGTACATATTTTTAGTGGTAGGGGAAACCGGAGCACCCGGAGGAAACCTACGCAGACACGGGGAGAACATGCAAACTCCACTCAGAAAGGCCCTGGTCCAACCGGGATTCAAACCCAGGACCTTCTTGCTGAGAGGCGAGAGTGCTATCCACTCAGCCACCGTGCCGCCCATATATATATGTAATAGTATGTTCGCTGTACATGAGTTAACAGCAGTGACAGAGGACTCATGTGCTTCTGTATTGCACATTCTGACATTATTCAGATAATTGCACAGATGCACAGAAAAAACCCTGATTCTTCCACACATTGTTGGGCTGAATGGGTC